TTTAAAGCAGGGCACGAGAAAGGAATCCTGATGTGATCACATCAAGGCCTCTCATTGCTCTTTAATTTAATCAATGTGCATTTGTGCTGGGGTGGATTAATAACCTGTAAGGGAAGGGAGAGACCTAAACTGTGTAAATTATATAAATTTACATATATTGATTTATTTTGCACTTCTTCTGATAGATATAGGAGATGCAAGGAGGTATGCCAAGACAATGAAGCCCCTCTCTCAGAACTCAGTGGAGCCCCTTGGCTCCATTACATTCCCTGTGTGATTACTGTTAATATTCTTCAGGGTGAAGTAAAATTCTTATCCATTAAGAACTGTGATGGCTGTTTCTTGATCTTGCAGGCCAAAATAAAAAGCAATGATTTAGCATGCCAGTCTCATTCCTGATTTAGTTTGTCCAATATCTGCATTGAAATATGATATCCCAGCAATTTTTTCTGAAACTATCATACCTACACAATAGCATAAAACAGTTATTTCTTAGGAAACTATCCCATTGCTCTCAATAACGCCACATGAGCCTGGATCACATGTAATGCATGTAACAATTATAGGATGAGCTGTAATGAATCTCTGGCTCTCAAGCTCCTCTTTGCTACACCCCAAGGAGGAAACTGGAAACGTCCCCTTTGTTTTAGATTAACCACGGTTTAGTGTTAAGTTTTAACTCTGAACTGTGACTAACCTTATCTACAGTTACTGAAAACTGTGGGCAACCATGTGTAGAGGACATTTGCTATTGCTTACTACAATGTCCACTTTTACAGACCCAAGAAATTGATTCATAAAACCCCTTTTCATGAAGGAAACAAATCTATCTAGGGTGGAGAGGGTCAAATGGCTGCTGAGTGATACTGATGACTCAGTGACTTATAAGGTGGCTCTCTATGCCGTGGCAGCTAGGAAGATTAGGGACTCAGCTATACAGCTGCAAATAAAACATTTTAAGTGTGTCTTAAGTGCAATATACAATGTGACACTAGATGGCAATGGCAAGCCTTATGGAAAATTCAATGTATTTTTTAAAAATGCTTTCAAAAATAGTATTTTCAGGACATTTTTCATATGTGTGTAGATTCCACTTAGGAAGAAAGAACTGGATAGGCTAGCGGCCAATTGCAACGGGGACTTTGATCTCTAATCTGCATATTTTATTTGAGAATTACCGTACTTTTCTGTCTATAAGACGCCCCCATGTACAAGACTGAAATTGGGGACTAAAATTTCTGAAAATGAATTGTTGAGCTTTTTTTAGGGGGGAATGCTGAAACTTGCTCACCCGCATGCTTCACAAAATCCGCCTCCCGTCTGTCTCCTCACTGGCAGAAGCTGCCAATCACCCGCCCAATCAATAACATGCACAATAGCCGCAGTAGCAACCAATCAAACGTCCACCCTATGAACTACCCACTTTTTAGCATGATTGTTAAGCGAAAAAACCTAGTCTTATACATGGAAAAGTACGGTACTTTTTATTCTATGTAATAAGAAATTTTGGAGGATTTGACCATGGTTTTACTGCAAATGTAGTGACTGCTGTTTTTCTCTTTCTTTCTTCCTTCTTTGTGACCTTTGGCTAGTGCAAAAAAAAATAATAATAATAATAATAATTCTGAAAACAAGCTAACTATTCAAACTACCATTTTTTTTAAAATAAAACATAGTTAAGATTAACCACCATTTGTTTGGTCTGGATGACATGGTAAGCTTGCCAGGTCTGGTGACATGGTTAATCTAGAACAGAAGCAAAAGCTTCCAAATGGCTCCTCTCCTCAGGGCTGTTTCAGAGGAGGAGGGTGAGCAGGCAAGCCTGCGGCTTACCTAAACTCATTATTTAAACCACCTCAATCTGATGAGCAAAATGGTGCCATACAGGCGTCTCCCAACTTATGCGGAGGTTACACTCCCGGGCACTGCACACAGGTGTGCAGTCGCGTATAGTGGGGAACAGCATCTAAAAAGCCAAATTCTGTCAAAATTCCGCAAAAGACCGCCAAACTGCGCCACAATCACTTCCTCCAAACCTCTTTTCTCAAACTCAAACTCTCCACAGGGCTCAAAGGCCAGTGCAAAGTCCCATTGGATTGCAGTTGCAAAGGTTCCTGAGGTTGCTAGTCATTTTCCCACTATTTTTGTGTCATTTTTGCAGTTCCCCCACTCTTTCTGGGCCAGTTTCGCCCTTTTTGCAGTTTAAATCCATTTATTTACTTATTTCCTGGAGCCGTGAGCGGGTCGAATGCTCGTAAGTGGGGAGATGCCTGTATTCACTATGTGATCCCCAATACTGTAAACTGGAATTAGGCAAGGAAAGCAGTTCCAACCATTAAGTTACCAGCTTTCACTATGGTACCAAGACTGCATGCCATCCAAAGCATCTTTGAAAAACGCTTGTTTAAAGTAACGATCAGATCTCTAGGCAAAGTTTATTTTCCAGTCCTTCTGTAAACAATTTATACAGCTGGTAGATCTCTGACCAGCCCACGTTGTGCTGCATACCTGAATAATATCTTTCCAGTGGTGCTGAATAAGCCGCAAGCAGGGATAAGAACACTATTTTTAAGAAGCAAGTGAAATCATGTTATGTGGGTAGGTTATTGTTGTACATATATACTTTATGTATTTTCATCCGAAGAAAGCGTAGGATTGTATCAGAGTTATGAGTTTTATTTGTGGGGGTAATAGTATACACTTAATCTTTTAGTTGTAATATATCCAGTAGTGATGTATCCCAATTACTTGCTTCACTGTTGCTTGGCTGAAAATGGAAAATGGCTGAAAATCACTTACTGTAGCCAGGTTGCATTGATTTTCTGCAAATTAGAATTACTCAGGAAAAGCACACAATTTTCTGTTTATTTCACATACATTTGTATCAATTTTAACGTTTATTTTATATGAATTGATAGTGGGATTGTAACAAATGACTTATTTTACACACACACACACACAGACACAAACACGTGTGTGTGTGTGTGTGTGTGTGTGTGTGTGTATTGGTGTTTTGAACCTAATTCTGCCCAGGTAATAATGATACAGATTTTCGTGTTATAGCAAATATAGAATTTCCCCAGTATCCATAAATTATATTATCATGGTTTGGGAAAATCAATAAGCAATTTTCATGTCAAACTAGTGATGTGGTCAGTAATATTGTTGTTGGGTGGGGTTTTTTTTTGGGGGGGGGGCAATTGGCAGCTAATTTTTACATCTGTGATGCTCACATTGTGGATGTTTCAAGTGCAAAGTTTCTCCCAGATATTTTACTGAGATTCTTACGATAACTTTTGTGTCACTGAATATACCACAACCAGCTCTGGGCTGGTTCTACCATGAACAGGGTGAAACGACTTGCTTCAGGTGGCACTATGAGGGGAGGGGAGGGGAATAGATGAAGTCGGGATTAGAGTTTGAATGTTTAAAGCACAACAGGTGGGCAACCTGTGGCCCAGGGCCCATTTTTATGTGCCCCCCCCTGAGGCCAAGCATCAAGTCCAGCAACCCATCAAACCATGGGGCTACCATAGAAATGTACCTGCCACAACCAGTAGGAAAGGAGGAATAATAGCTTCCGAAGCGAATGGTCGAGTAGCTCAGTTTTGCTCTGGATTGTCTTGTATTGTGGCAGAACCCTGCTTGAGCCAACATTTGGCAAAAAATATATTTAGAACATCCCCCCCCCATATAGTGGAATCTTGAGAGTTCTCCCTATTTTCTGGTTGGCAATACAGACACACTACAGTCATAACTGCATGGAGCCAGGTGGAATAGGAATAACCCATCAGCTCTACATTTCTGAATTTGATCTTGAGGGAGACTATGGCTAATACATTATATTAATGGAGCCAAAAACTTTTTTTTGCTATCAGTAAAGTGATCTTGCTAACGCTTCTTGTGCTGTCAGCTGCCTCCCTGTGTTATAATCTGATGAAGAACCAGAATTTAAGAGCAACCTTTTCATACGATGCTATCAACTGAAACATTTAAATAATTCTAAGCAGCAGCTCATTCCCTCCCATAGGGAATGAATTGAAAGGTTTAAGCAAACTATGGAAAATATGAAAAGGGCTTTCCCCCTCAAGCGTAATGGGAAAAAATGGGCTGAGATGATTCAAGAATTGACCTTAACTACAATAAACTGCTCACAGCATGACTAGCTATCCATCATTTTGCTCCATGCCTGGCAAAATGCCACATCAGAAAACTGTAATAATATTCAGAAATGCCATGGAGGAAAAAGAAATAGTTGTAGGGCTAGTGAAGTTTAAAAAGAGGCAGCTAGCCACTTTGCAAAACAGCGGTCGAACAGGTTCAAACAACCCATCCTAAGGCTGAATGCTAGCCATCCACACTTGAGAGTAAGTATCATTGAACTCAGTTGGATTTACTTCTGAGTAAGCAAGCACAGGCATGTATAACACATGCCTTTATCAATGACTGGTCCTCTCTTTGTGTCTTGAGTGTTGATTCACCCTTTCCACAAAGTCACTTTTGCTGCCTCTTTTCTTCCTCTTTGTGGCAGAGGCCTTTTGCAGCCTGGGAGTTTATAGCCACCTTTATAGCTTGCAAATGCAAGCTCTGCAATTACGGTTCAAGGTGAACAAGAGGAGGCAGTCATGCTGAAGTGAATCAGGGTAAACTTAGCTGGCACAACCTGTTCATTGTGAGCATCCTGGTGCTCTACCAGTGTCAGAAATTGAGCTGAGATACATCCATGAACACTTTAAAAAGAATTCAGATGCCTTTCCAAAAATCTGACCGTTCTTCCGCACTAAATCATGACAAATATGTTGTTAAGTACTATTTCAAGCTACTTTCCCACATCTAGACAAAAGCAAAGCTCTGTTAAAGAAAAAGCAGGCTTAATTTAAGAAAATAGACACAAAATGTTTGTTTATTTAGCACTAGCATGACTATGTAGAATAAAGTTTATAATAGAAAAATTGAGGACACCTATTTAGCTTTGGATATTTAATGCCGAACATCTGACTTTAATGCAAAGATTTTACTGAGTTCATATTAGAAAGCAATGTTATTTCTCCCCCCCCCCTGCATACCCCCACTAGACAAAGGAACTCAACATGCTGTGAAATAATAAATCAAAAAGAAAACACAAAATAAGCTTGGCAGCCCTACTTCCCCATTAAGAAAGGAAGTCTTTTGATTGTACCCCATATTGAAAATTTGTTTGAAGTGCCCCAGTTAATAATAAACCCTCAGCAGGCTGATTAAAGTGGGAGGGAAACAATATGATAACGATGGAGGTTTCATATGTGATTAAAATAATTGGCCATATCTTCAAGAATATTGATTGAGGAAGGTGGATGGGATTTCAGAAATCAAGATTTTTTTTAAAAAAAGTGTTTCAAAAGCCAGCTCAGAAAATGGAGGAATTTAGCATAGCGCTCTTCTGATTGTTCTGTCAGCACAAGCATTTTGGCTTGCCAAACAGAATGACCCCGTCTCTCCCACACTTTCTTGGAGAGAATATAATTTCAGGAAACACAGGTGGGATGCAGAGGGAGGGGAGGAGGGAGTCCCATTGCACAAGGGGAAGTTTTTGCACAAGGGTTTGTTGATGGGACCCAGTTGAATCCCACCCTGAGCCTGGAAGGCCTCATTCCCCAACTCATACAAATAAAATGTATGAAAAGATTGCCACAAGTGCCTATGATGAACCTTAACAGTCAGCCCTAGAACCCCAGGGTATTGGACTTAACAAGTCTAATATGGATTCATTTTCTGGGGTGAACAATATAATTATTACTAGGAGTGCACCACACACACACCCCTCCTGCCCCATCTCTTGGAAAGAATTACAGCAAGACTGGAGGAGAAACAAGCAGAACAGGGAAGCCACACACTATTTATTGATGGCAGCAGCACGTGCACACTATTTGTGAAGACACTTAAGACTGTGGGTGTAAAAAAAAAAGCCCCCCCCCTTAAAACACTAGTACCCCAAATTTCTAACTGCTATTGCAGGGTGTTCAAATTACCACAATTTGTACAGTAGCTTGCCACATGAAACATTGCTGTTGAATGGAGAGTGCACATCCTTGGAATCCCATGGAGCAGGTGACATATGGAGGCCATTTCAAGCAGTTTCCGTGGGGTGGCTATAACTTGAAATTTGGCTTTATGAGACTTTTCCCATGGGAACCTGTTCTTCTTATAGCCATGGTTCTGGTGCACTATTTTATTGATGTTGATCCGATGGTCGCCCTCACAGAAGGTCTAAGAAAACAGATGAGAATGGTGTTGTTCTCAGCACCACAATCCACCTGAGCATCATGGAATACAATCTTTCTTGACGTACAGCTTTGTCTTTTCAGACTGAGAATGAAATGCTAAATTGGAGGTATAGGAGACGGACATAAAGGCATGCCTTCATAGTCTCATTGGTTGTGATGTAGCCTAGATTTGATTACATGCCATTTTCCCTCACTGTAAAGAATCATGGGATACAGCCCTGTTGAGACTGAATCACATGAGATTGCATGCTCCTTTGGAAATTATAATTACAAAGAAAAACAAATTTCTGGACTGGTTTCTACCTAATGTGCTACTTTTCTAAATGCAAGGTTTTTCTTTTCATTTTTAAAAAAATCTATTTTAGATAAATCAATATATATAATACAGTCCTTAGAAGGCTGTAGCATGTTTGTTTTGGGTAGAACATCTCTCACACAAAAGTGTCGCTGTTCCAAGGAGCGGAATATCATCAACTTTATGGTGTCTCTGAACATATGAATGAAATAGTACAAAAATTTCATGCTTGCATGCTGAGGCTCCGGGCCCCGCAGTTCCCTATTGATTAATAAACACAAGGACATGAGTATTTAGGTTCATGGGTTTAAAAAGACCACAATTTTATTGGTTACAGATGTGAGTGGTTTGGCTTAAGCATTGGGAGAAGTCAGCCTATATCTTGACTCCCACCCATCCTGCAGCGAGTTCAACTAAGAGTAAACCACCAAAAGGGGAGCCCTATGACTTACAGCAAATAGGGACACCTGAGGGGTCCCTCTTGGGGTCGTGGCATGGCCCTAGCTGATGTCCGGGCATCTGACAGGATCCACACCCCTGGATCCCTTTAACAGGATACCCTTATTGAGGAGGGGCAGGCGGAAGCTACAACCTCCCCTCAAGATTAAAAAAGGCTTACATAATGCCTAACCTTACAAAGTTGTGACAATTGCTACGAGAAAGGCGAAAACCAAATGGTTGGTGCCAATTGCCAAGTGGAAAAATTCCTACCCAACCCCAACAATATGGCTGCCAACATTTGTCCATAGCCAGGTCGTGTCATACCAAAGCGTAAAAAGAGGGCAGGTGGGTTGGGAGATCTGGCGAGGAGGCAAAAGAAGGAATGCCCCTGGCTGCACCGTGGTTTAAATCTCCTGCAGCCATGCCCCCTGCCAGCGTTGATTGGCTGGCAAGGGCGTGACGCAGCGGGGTCGGCATGAGGGGAGCGTCAACCTCCCACCCCCATGCCAGATCACCGCAATGACCCGATGCCCAGCCGCAACACCGCCCACCGCGAAAGGTGGGCAGATTTCTAAGGAAGCAACTCGATACTCCTGGTGGCCAGGGTGAGAACTTCAATACATAACAGGAGGTTCCTCACAAGACTAACATTCCATGGAATTTTTTTTTTTTTGCAAATAATGAAATGTTCACATTCTGAATTGTTGTTCATTAAAGAACATGCTTGTGAACAAGGTGTCATAGATGACAGATCTGTAAGGGTTTTTTTTTTAAGATTATCTGTATTACCTTTTGTCACAGGCATTTCCTCATAAGGCTTAGATCCAGAAAGGCAGAAGATTGGTTCTGCAAGCAATTTCAACTTCTCTTTTCCAGTAACAGCCTCCCTGCAAAAGTCCACATGGGATAAGGAACTGCTGCCAGAACCTGCAACTTGCCACTATCCATGTGTGCAGAAGCACTTTGAACAGCAGCACAGACTTCACTTTATTCAAGCCTATATTCCTGGCAATGCAAACTTATGCAAGACTTCTTAGGAGTAAGTCCAACTAAATTCAATGGGAGTAACCTCCAGGTAAGGATTGCTGCCTTAATTTCCATCAAGGAAATTGTTCCAAAGCAGGATCTCGAAAATTCTGTGTAATCAATGTATTGTTAAAACTTCAGGAGACAATATTTTGAAATAGCCAAAAGAAAGCACAACAGTGAAAAAGATGAACCCTTTTTCATGCTCCATCCTGTTGGAGCAGAAATAACAGCTTTTTATATAGATTATAGAAAAAGTTATTTTCTCTAGGCTGGGAAAAGTGACACACACTATTATTCCACATAACTGACTGAATCCACTTTTTTCATTTAGGAAGGATTTTCATATACTTAAAGGAGATTGTACCATAATGTAAGTAAAATGAGAAGTGCAACAACAGAGTGTTCAGTAATAGGTTCTGAGTGACATTTAGCAATTCTCCTGAGTGTTTATGCCTTGCTGGAGGGAAATGCACTTTCTAAAGATCACAGGCAGTCCCTATGGAGACCTGTAACCTTCCATGAAGCAACTCACCAGAAACTGATAGGTTTGTTCTCTTCACAAGTGAGACAATTGCAATTGGCTTAAAAATGTTTTAGCTGCGCCTCAGGGAGTACTAATAAAGGACCCTTTAAAAGATAAGTCAGCTGTAGTTCAAATGTAGCTCTGTTAGATATATATGTATAAAGTGAAATGCCGAAGAGACTTCATCTTGGTTGGGCCTGTACTAATTTTCCTGTTCTTGTTGGCTTGGGCTGAAAGCAGGGGTGGTGGAACTTTTTCAGCACAACTGTCGCATTGCTTCATGGCCAGTTTTGATGGCTGTATGTCAGTGATAGGGGGGGCCAGAGGGGAGGTGTGTGCATGCATGGGTGGCTCACCAATGCCAGGATGCCTGTGTTATCAACCCAGCTGTTTTTTGGAATGTCATATATGGCATTATCAACATCTGTGCTTTTCTGCATTTCATTACCTATGGCCTCACTGTTTATAATTCCCTCTTTCCTCCAAACATTTCATGTATCAGTGGACTGTAGTCCACAAAAGCTTATGCTGCAATCTTTAAGATGGCACAAAACTCTTTGTTGTTATTGTTAAATATAACATTTAAACCATAATAAAGCATGTTGTGTTTTCCCCCACCCCATCCGCTATATCAATTGAACTGCTTTGGACTATTGGGAAGACCTTGAGATAAAGGGTACTGGAAAGTGTTCTAGGACATATTTGGGAGAGAAGACTACAGGCTGGTTAAGTGATAGTGCAATCGAAACTTTGATTGCTGGCTGCCCAGCAGGCCTTAGGGAAGGGGAACCACCATGGCACATACCAACCAGAAGGGAAGATGCTAGCCAGGCTAATGGTAGTTGTAGCCCCATACATCTGGAGGACACCAGGCTGGGCAAGACTGACTGAATTAGATGGACCAGTGGTCAGACTTGGTATAAGCCAGCGACCTATATTCCTGTGAAATCCAACTGCTAACAGACATATGAAGGTGTGCTTATTTCTGCCATATGGTCTATTGTACCAGGAGCTGGAGCTCAAAAAGCTGAAAAGAGACTGCACTACTTGGTATAGAAGCATAAAGACAGAGAGAGGTCAGTAACAGGTCATATGATGAAGAACCGCCACATGTAGCAAAGGGGGTGTTCCCCAAAGCTCAGATGAAATAAAAACAGGAAAGAAAAAGTAATGTCGAACAAGCAAGTAGATTCCAGCATGGTTGTGAAAAAGGCAGTTTGTGGTTTTAGAGACACTACAGCATGCTGTTCTATAAATTTAGAAGGAAGGATCCTAATTAGGAAGAAAGGGGAAGAAAGGGGATAGAACTAGCTGTAGGACAAAGAAACAAGGTAGGAAGTCTGAAAATCTGAAATTGGGTTTAAGTGGTGTCAGAATTATCACTTTACAAGGTCAGAAGACTCAATACAAATGGACAGAAATATGAAGCAGAAACAGTATAATGGAGCACATTAGCAATATGCACTAAATGGAAAACAGGAGATGCAATACTCAGCAAATCTCTGGTTTCTTACAGCAGGCAAGAAAAGGGAATTATAACAAGTCAAGCCACAAGTTAATCAAATATGTGCTTACTTTAACATACAGGTTTCAGACCAACCAGAGACACACTGTATTTATATATTAAAATGAAGTAAATGAAAAGGTATAGCTTGTTCCCTTTTCTAGTCATGTGAAAACAGGGTGGTGAACTAGATGGGACATTAGCCTGATTCAATGGTCTCTTCTGAAGTTCTTCCTTTCTCTCGTGTACTTAGAAGATAAACTAGTGTAACCTGGATTGGAAACACGTGGTGACACCACTTGTGTTAATGATCTAACCCTGTTATTGCCCTGGAAATCGAAATGACATACAGCTAACCAAACCAGGTGCTCTAACATAGTAACTGGATTCAAAATGAATGAATCCAAATCTTTCTGTGATTGCAGTTCAGTATTATTTTAAGCCCTTCCAAGGGCTCTTCCAAGGCTTTCATCGCGCAGTCTGTATAATGTGTTAGGAAGCCATCAGGGGCATGGTGGGGAATATGGAATAATATAGCCCTTAAAGGTAAAGGTAAAGGGACCCCTGACCATTAGGTCCAGTCGTGACCGACTCTGGGGTTGCGGCGCTCATCTCACTTTATTGGCCTATGGAGCCGGCGTACAGCTTCTGGGTCATGTGGCCAGCATGACTAAGCCACTTCTGGCGAACCAGAGCAGCGCACGGAAATGCCGTTTACCTTCCCGCTGGAGCGGTACCTATTTATCTACTTGCACTTTGACGTGCTTTCGAACTGCTAGGTTGGCAGGAGCAGGGACCGAGCAACGGGAGCTCACCCCGTCGTGGGGATTCGAACCGCCGACCTTCTGATCTGCAAGTCCTAGGCTCTGTGGTTTAACCCACAGCGCCACCCGCGTCCCTTAATATAGCCCTTATGAAGCAACAAATGAAGCATCTTAAGTGTGCTCAGGAACATGAAGATCAACAATTATTTTTAACCTGTTCTAGTACATGTTTATTCAGGACATTGGAGAGGACAGTCACCTGGGATAATATGTTAAGATGGAGAGCAGAAGACTCCTAACTGATGAAAGCAATTGTAAATCATTTACAAACCTATTTACATTGTATTTGCATTGAATAGGACTATTTACATTGTATTTGCATTGAATGTTTTTTGGGGTGGGTACATGGGGTTTGTTTGTTCTATTTATTTATAGAAACGAAAAAACAAGCTTAAGAAGAAAGAAAGAAAGAAAGAAAGAAAGAAAGAAAGAAAGAAAGAAAGAAAAGAAAGAAAGAAAGAAAGAAAGAAACAGACAGACCATCAGAACAGAACTACACTTGTTTACGGTTGGGCTTTGGGAGACTTGTTCTGCAGTACAGAGGAAACACAGAAAGCTGAGAGGGTGGAGTGGGTTGCACCATTTCAGACTGTGTGTATGGGGGGGGGGGGACTACAAATCTTCTTTCCGCGAAAACCTGCCAGAATACAGAAAAGGAGCATAGCCGGGAGGAAAGATCTACCCCATCCCTTTGGTCACTGTGCTGTTTTGCTGTGTTTTCAACTGAAGCTGGGTTTTGAATGCAGGACAGCAGTCAAAAAAACGACCCCCCCTGCTGCCTGGAATGGCACAGCCCATTCTCTTACCTCAGTTGCTGCAACCTGTTTAGGCCCCACCTGAGCTCTCACATCTGGGCTCACCTGCAACCCCCCCCCCAACTTCATTCCCAGTTTACCTCTCCCTACTTCCTGGAACCAGCGCCCCCCCCCCCCATTTTTCTCTAGCTTTCAGTCTTAAGGAAGACAGAAAGGCTTTGGGGAAATGTAGTTCTTGAACTCAGCACTTATAAGGTCTCCTTGCATTCAGATTTGTCTGAATCTGAATCTAAAAGCCTCAAGCTTTGTCTGAATCTGAATCTAAAAGCCTCAAGCTGGCCTAGGCCCTGACAGTCTCCATTTCTCCCTCAAGTTACGATTAATTGTAAGTACATATTGATTTTCTGTGGTTTCCCCCACTATTCCCCAATTTACTGCTACCGTTCTCCCACTTCTGTCACACTTAAGATTTTTAATTTGTTTATTATTCTTCTTATTATGAATTCATTTATTTACATTTTATACATTCTTAAAATTTTGCGGACAAACTAAAGATTTTTAGTTCCTTGTGGAAGCAGGCCCTGTGTTTTGTTTTGCTATAAATCACCTTTTACTGTGTTGTTGTTGTTGTTACAGTTACTGCTTTTACCACCACCACCAATTGCAACCGCTTACTTTTAGCAGGGTTGTTGTGTTGAATATCAACGTAGGCAAGTAAATAAGGAGCATGCAATCTTGTATTTTCCCCGGTATATGTTGTAGTATTATTATTATTTCATTTCTATACCACTTTAAAATCTCAAAGTGGTGTACAGCATATTAAACATCAATAAAACAATGCAGAATCAAACATTTCTGAAGAAAGTCAAACGTAAAGTACACAGTCAAAGCAAAACAATTAACAGGGAACCAAAATACCATCTCAAAGGTTTCAAAATAAAACATTACAGCGGAGGTCAACTACAGAATACATATTTAACACAAACAAAGTTAACAAAAAACAAAAACAAAATCTTAAACGTTTCAAGGAAAACATTGCTAAGTGAAGTCAAATATAAAATGCACACTTAAAACAGCATAATTAACGAGAACAAAATATTATAAGCATGACACGGCTGTTTGGCAGTAACAAAAAGATGGGGCAAAGGAATCCAATACAGTAGTACCTCGGGTTACATACACTTCAGGTTACAGACTCCGCTAACCCAGAAATAGTACCTCGGGTTAAGAACTTTGCAGCAGTGCCTGTACAGTGGTACCTCAGGTTATAGACGCTTCAGGTTGCAGACACTTTAGGTTAGACTCCGCTAACCCAGAAATAGTACCTTGGGTTAAGAACTTTGCTTCAGGATGAGAACAGAAATCGTGCAGCGGTGGCATAGCGGCAGCCGGAGGCCCTATTAGCTAAAGTGGTGCTTCAGGTTAAGAACAGTTTCAGATTAAGAACAGACCCCCAGAACAAATTAAGTTCTTAGCCCGAGGTACCACGGTAATTAGGATTTGTTGTCAGGCATAGCAATGTCCCTCCAGTCTCCCCAGGGGCCTCTGTAATAGAGCTGGGTGAGTCTGGGCCCCGCCCTCTCAGCCAGGTGGAAAAGGCCTTGCAGGGAGTGGCCTTCACGACTCATAGGCGGACGTTGTAAATATATTGCAGGTAGGATTCAGCTCCAGGTAGGATGCAGCTCCATTAAATAGATTGAATACTGACTTAATGAGTAAGATAGAAATATGAGGACCTGGTAAAAACCCAGAATTATTTCTCCCACCCCCCACAGTTCTTCAGAGACAAAACAAGAAAAAAAAGAAAAGAAAATACATTATTGTCAATACATTATTGATTTAATTTATTTGAGAAAAATTCTACACCACTAACATTAAGGGGGGAAATATGGTGGTGGACAACATAAAACTTACAATAAAGTTGCATTCATAAAAGAAGTACAAAACGCATTAACGTCGTTATAGGTCTTAATAACGAACAGGCACAAAGGATTTGGGACAGATTCCTGAAGATTCTAATTCCATTTTCTTCATGAGTGTAAACAGGCTTTTCCAAAGAGACTTGCTCCTCCTCCTGCTACTTAGAGTCCCACTGACCACTATGAGTGGAACAGAGCAGGTGAGCAAGAGTGCTGGCCTGGTAGAGGGACAAAGTGTGTGGTGCATAGTTTTGTCACAACTTGTGACTGGATTTATTGCAGGGGTAAGCAGAAATGATTCCTCACTGGATGACCCTCTTAAGGGATCTTCGGTTGTCACTTCGAGGCCCCGGCCTGTTTGGGAGCTAACATGCCTGCCGCACACCTAGGTTCCACAGATGCTCACGGTACTGAGCTACATGTGAGCTTTCTGACACCCCTCAACATTTTCCTACCATGTAGGCAGTGTGGTTGTATTGGTCACTAGTTAGCCTGTTTATTTGGATCCTCACCATATGCCGCACCAAACACTGTAAACTGCCTGAAACCAATAATAGTTGTGACCATTTTTTACCTATTTTTCAACATTGCGATGGATGATATCCTGCCACGCACTGCAGACAAGGGAGAACATAGCACTTGAAGTATGGCAGGTTTTTTTCACTCTGAAGTATATACATTTTTACTGAGAAACAAATACCATTGATTTCAACTTACGTTCAAATTAGGTACTCTCAGAAATGTAGTTTTTAATTTTGGTCATGTTTGCAGCGTTTGCATTTTCCCCCCAGAGCAGCTGAATTTATTGTAGTTCATTGTGTTGTCTGTTGCTGCTGCTGTGGTTGCCTTAAACTTTTTTATTATAAGCATGCAGTCAATGCCTGCCCTCTTTTATTGGACAGGTTGAAGGATGAACGGAGAAGCAATTGCTTTTTATTAATTGTGTCAATATCAACAAAAATAAAGTAGGATTTTCTCAAACAGAGTGTTGGATCTATGTGTCACACATCTACTATTGTTACGCAGATGCCTTCCAATCTTTTTGCTATATTCTTTGCTACCTGCATATATTGACTGCTATGTTCTCCACTGCCTTGCTGTTTACTTATCTGCTTACAGTTTAATTACCTTTTCAGTTGAGCTACTCCGGTACATATGTGACAAGCAAAACAGATAAGCATTCAGAAACATGTATCTGATTTAAATCCTTGTCCATTCCAGTCATAAATTCTTGCTTTAAAAATACAAACAAACACATCAACCCATTCATATTTCCCACCACAGCTAGAGCAGTGGGATCTTGCATATCACTTGTCCTCTGAATGACTAATTGCAAGGCTGTAATTGTAAATAAGTATTTTAATTTACTATAATGTAGATAAATCTGATTCCCCCCCCATACCTCCTCAAAATATTTGTCTGGAAAAATTCTAATTTGATACACAGTTTGACAAGTTGACCTCTAGTGGTATTTAGTATTTGAACTCTGACAGTATGTTAACGTTGACATCTGTATAGCATTTTGGTATTTTTTTCACCTGAGAAAAAACAGGATATCAAAAAAGTTACTATGTCAGAATTTGAATTGTGAATTATGTCAGTCAGTCAGTCAGTCAGTCAGTCCAGTCTCTCTTTCAGTTAGCTGTGAAGTCATTTTTTAAAAAAAGTTAAATTGAAATTTGTCAAGTTTTCAAAATTTTCTCTTAATTCTGTGTGAGAGACAGGATTTATTTATTTATGGAGTCTTAAACTTCCAACATTTTTGCAGTTTTTGATAAGGTAAATGGACTGTACAAATTATTCTCAGTAACTCAGCCCTTTCTCATTCTACCCCCCATGCCACAGTCTGTTATTCCAGATGCAAGCACCATATTGCATAACTTACTTAATTACACGATTAGATGTTTGCTGAATGGTTGATTTTGCATTCAGTAGCTATGGCATCAGTAATACAGTTATGAATGTTTACTGACATCTGATCATGGGCACATCTTTTTGGAACCACATCTCAGAGTTCAGTTAAACTTACCGCCAAGAAAAGTTGGACACTGAGGAACAAGTCCCATTAAACTCAGCTGAACTTATTTCTGAACAAACATGCATAATAATAAACTGCATGTGTGCATTTTTTTCTTTCCAAAATATAACCCAAAACTTTTAGCATTGTGTCTTTGTATGATGGTTTACATGAGACTGCATTTCTTTTTTCTTTATTCGAGACACTTTATTGGTGCACTAGCAAATATTTTAAAATATTTCAAGTTCCTTCTGCAGTGTGATAGTTTTTGCATCTCCATGGACTATATGTCATTACGGTTTGTTTCATGTTGTTTTTAAAAGCGATATTAATATGTAGTATAGCAGATATTTATACTGATAGAATAATAGAGTAGATTTTCCCTAGCTTAATATAGACCGTATCTTGTCTGTTAAATATATAGATTGCCAAAGCTAGTGGTGAGTTCTGTTTTGTGAAATCATTTTCTAAAAGATGAGAACTGGAAGCTGATAGCAACTTTACAAAGCAGAAGTGGAACAGAATATGTACACTTAAAGAATAAGTGTGAGAAGTGGATCATAGAACCATAGAATAGTAGAGTTGGAAGGGACCCTGAGTGTCATCTAGTCCAGCCCCCTACAATGCAGGAATCTCAACTAAAGCATCAGTGGCAGATGGCCAACCAACCTCTACTTAAAAACTCCAATGAAGGATTGTCCACAACCTCCCAAGGGATTCTGTTCTACTGTTGAATAGCTCTTACTATCAGAAAGTTCTTCCTGATGTTTAGTTGGAATCTCCTTAAGCATTAAATCAAAGATTTGGAGAATGAAATTAAAATGCAGTTTAAGCATATGGAGGTTTTAGGTTTGTTGTACAGTGGTACCTCTGGTTACGTACTTAATTCGTTCCGGACGTCCATTCTTAACCTGAAACTGTTCTTAACCTAAAGCACCACTTTAGCTAATGGGGCCTCCTCCTGCTGCTGTGCCGCCGGAGCATGATTTCTGTTCTCATCCTAAGTTCTTAACCCGAGGTACTATTTCTGGGTTAGCGGAGTCTGTAACATGAAGCGTATGTAACCTGAAGCGTATGTAACCCGAGGTACCACTGTATTGTGCTGTGTGAGATAGGAGCAGGTCTGCTTACAAGTGTGCTCGAGTTCCAGATTGAAGTGGGGGTGAAAAGAGGTCAAAGTCCAAAAAGTAGAAAGGAAAAGCAAACAGAGGAGATAGTAAGGGGAGGGAAATGTGTGTGGTTACGGTGCAAAGGGGAAAAGAGAATGAATCTGTAAGAAGTAACATTGTTAGCTGAAGGTAAGCAAAATCTGTTTCAGAGGGACACAGCACACATTAATTTTCATCTAATTTAAGATTACTAGAAGAATTAGTGGTTTAGTAAAACTGATATTATTCTTGGTGCCAATTGCAAAAGGTCTTGTAACTAGTAGTAGTCACAGTATTTAATTAATGCAAGGGAAAGTTATTCATTGTTATAAAATCTAGTGTGTAATCTAGCCAAAGTTAGGCATTTTAAAGTAATATCAATAGTGGTGTAGAAATGCATGTATACTTCAATCTCCCACTGAAATGGAAGGACGACTTAAAAGTGCTTAACTTTTGACTTGGGTCACTACCCTAATTGTTATTCTACAAGTAAAATATATTTTCCTTATTGGTTTCCTAAAGTTTAGACTCTAGTTGTTGTTGTTTAGTCGTTTAGTTGTGTCCGACTCTTCGTGACCCCATGGAAAAGAGCACGCCAGGCACTCCTGTCTTCCACTGCCTCCTGCAGTTTGGTCAAACTCAATCCATAGTATTTAATTGATTTTCATTTTAGTTATTTTATTGCGCTTCATAATCCTTATATTAAATTGAATATTTTCCATTTTTCCTCTTAGATACAGGACTTGTGCATTTACTGCTCTATTTATGTCAAAATTTAATATAACTTAAGTATCCAGATTTAATGAAAATCACTGTTCAGGCACATTGACTGCCCTAGAGATGCAGAAGTATTTAAAAAACAAAAAACCCAGAATGCTGGCTGACTGTTGATCTGTTGATAAGAGGATAACTGGAAAACCATGGGATAGGGATCAAATGCAATATGCTCAGACAACATGGCTGGCCGACTGGTACAATGCAATATTTTTTTCCTGCAAGCACCAGTTGTAATCTGGGCCTAACTGGTACCTATTAGGGCTGTTCTTATTTTAGGCACAAAAAGAAAATTAATTAATGCTGTTTCTCTCTCACACTCTCTCCAAACTATAATTCCGTGGAAGAACCACATTATCTGGTTCTTCATCTCTAGTGATAAGATGCCATTTAGCTCCTAGCTTTCATATCTCAGTTTCTAACACTGGTTAGGCTGAGAGGCATTGACTAGCTCAAGGTTACCCATTGAGCTTCATGGCCAACTTGGGTGATTTGAGCCCTGGTTTCCCAAGTCCTAGTCTGATATTCTAACCCAGGGGTCTGCAACCCGCGGCTCCGGAGCCGCATGTGGCTCTTTTACACCTTTGCCGCGGCTCGAGGGTGGATACTAGCGAGGGGAGGAGGCGCACTGTGCACCCCGACACTCCCCACTGTGGCGGGTGCTGTACTGGCTGTGACGTCGCATGGGGGCGGTGCGTGCGTTAGTCACGCACCGTCCTGATGTCAACTTCCCGCCTGCCCGCTACATTGTAAGGGGCATGTACGCTGGTCACTGTTTTGAAGGGGAGTGAAGAACACACACACACAAAAAGGTAACTTGTTAATTTAATGTTTATTTCTATGAGGAGGAGTAATTCTGAGGGGTGAAACAAAGAAATAATTTAAACAAAGTGACAAAAAAGTTATTTTTATAATGACGAGTATTGCGGCTCCCAGTTTTTTTTCCTTCGGAAACGGGTCCAAGTGGCTCTTTTTGTCTTAAAGGTTGCAGACCCCTGTTCTAACCACTGTACCATACTAGCTCTCATGATGTGAATGAAACTGCCTCATATTGAATATTTGTATGATTTTTGTACAATTGTTGGGTATGAGGGAAATGCATTTAAATCGTGTATGTGCCAGCTCCATCCCATTGTCATATGGTTCTGAATAGCTGGATCAGTGTTTTGGCCCATGGCGCACAATGGCCTTGTTCACACATAGCACTATGCCAGACTATGTCCTACCAAAAACAAGCACAAGGAGAAAATTTCAGCTGCTTCGTTCTTTCCCCACTTATGCTGTTTCCATACTACTCAGAGCTAAGTCATGATTTGGCTTAGCATTATCCTAACCCAGACTCACGGTTTGTTTCCCTCCAACAAACCACAAGTAGTTAACCAAGAGCAAATCTTAGCTACAGCATGGTTTGTTTGAAGCGAGACAAACCACTAGCCCATGTTTGCACATAGCACTGAGCCTTACCATGGCCTAGCTTCTGGTAGTGCAGCAGGAGCAGGGGAGAAGCAAAGTGACTGTGACTTTCTCTTTCTGTACCAGCACACTTGCTTGCTTGTGGTAAGCTACTGTTTGGCTTAGTGTTATGTGCAAAACAGGCCCATTGATCAGTTTCCCAGATGCTGAGTTCTATTGTGTCTGATAGTACAAATGAGGATGTATTTTGAAGCATTCTGTGGGCAACACTGGCAATGATGGAGGAAGAATAACTCTCTTGCTCAATTGTGGAACTTAGGTGAATAGCAAATTATGTTTTGAAGGTGACCAAGTGGTGCTCTTCTATTAATTAGGATAAGTAATTAAGTAGTAATCAGTACTTACTTTAATTAGTAACAAATGGATTCTGTGCTGCAGAAAAAGCTTGTTTCATAGTGGATGTAGACTGATTCATCACCTACCACCAAATAAATGACTAATTCATTATTTGCATTAATCAATGGAAGTGGCTAAGTTTTGAATAAACCTTTTGAAAGCCACTATCTGGCCACTTTCCACATAAAAATGGCTTTTCATTAGGGCCTCAAATTTGAGCATGCAGAAATATGTAAAAGAAAATATTTCTGTCTTGTAGCTTTTGTTTGATCTTATTTTTTTTAAACTGAAACATGAAGGTAGTGAAGACACTATGAGTGGTGACCACTTTGAATGCTCAGGTTGCCAGATTTGTGCTCAACACAATTTTAGTCAACTAGAATGTTGTCTGAGTTAAGACAAGTGGAATCAGGATTAGACTGGAAATAGAAAATAGGAAGGCAAGAGTGTACAATAATGAGGCCTGGGGAGATGCTGAAACTAAATAAAACTAAATAAAAAATACTACAGAAACAATTTTGAATATGTGGTTGTGTTTTTCACTTTCAGTAGGGATCTCATCTGTACCTTGCATTGAGCTTCTTTCTGCCACACAGAAAGAATCACACTAGTTCATCAAGATGTGTTTTCCAGTGATGCAGACAATCTGATAAACGCAGATGGAGGCCAGAAACTGAATCTGGCTCTATAGGAAATCTTGGTGTCAGTGAAAAGGAATTTTAGGGGACAACTGTTTAGATTTTATATCCTTGTGGTTTGTGAGAAAACAGCTTTTCTCCGGCAGAGGCCTATTCTGAAATTTCCTCTTGCACTATTTCTTTAGTGCCTAGTCTGCCTATTCCAGTCGTGCCTCCCAAGCTAAAAACTTACACATCCACATCAAGAAGCTAAAGGAGCCAAAAGATTGCTCAGGCTTGAAAATGCAAGTTTAAATGTGGCAATGCACCTGCCATTTTCAGGAGCACAGATTGTAGAAACAATAATGCTGCCTGCGGCTTTCTGATTCTGCAAGTTTGAATGACACTATAGAATTTGTTACTGCTATTGGAGCAGTGGTAGAAAACAGAAGTTGCTGATGTAGCTCTATAGAGAAAGCATTGTATTTAAAACTAATGGCTTTAGGGCTACAGCAATATGCTGCCTTGAAAAAATGCTGGAATTGAGAACTTCCCACTCTTTCCTTACACTCCCAAGTATTTCACTTTTTAAAGCTGGAAGGCTGTACCTCAGCAGACATAGCTATAATCTTTGCATCAGACACTAGCCAATATGCACGGCACAGAATCTAAACGAAAATATTTTCTCCCTTTTCATTTTTAGAGTGAGAAATGGATCTGTCTTCTTATGCCTCGCCGGCAGCCATTATAGAAACTGTTGCGTCACAGCTAGCATGCAGTCCAGTGGATAAGGAAGTTGCTGTTCAGTTAGATGAAGAAGATGAACTAAAACACCTGCGTGCATGTTTTCATATTCCCAGAGTGAAGGATCTGCCTCCAAGTAAGAACCACGGTTATACCAAGGTGGCTTTGTATCTCCTTGCATATGTTTATTGCAGATCTGCAGGAAGCCTTGCTGCCTAAAGGATAAATGGAGCGATTGGCGCCACATCTTTGATCACAGCATGTCCCCTGCGTTGTAAAATCAGCACCTCAAGTTGAGTGCCTTATATGCTCTCATTCCCATTCTGATTAGAATGGAAGATTACAATACAGCACTTAAGCCGTGCTTAGGCTGTCACTCAGTCTCTTTCAACAATATAGTGACTGATTGAAAATTATAGGCAGGAGTGTTTTTTAATGGATTTGAGCTACTTTGCCTCCAGGTGCTTATTGCCAAAAGAAGCTACTACTTTGGGCATCCAGGAAAGTTTTGCACTAACAGTTTTTTATGGTTGATTGGAATCCACTGGGGAGGCCTCCTGCACAAACCTCATTTGGAAGGAGCAGGAACAACACACTTGGCAGGAGGGTTGCGTGTGTGGTTATTGTGGCACTATAAGAGTCTTTCTGAATACTTATACCAGGTATGACGGTAACAATGTTGTTTGAGTTGATAAATAAGTTAAATTAATTGACAAAATATTCTGATCAGTTAATCCAGTGTCCCTGATTAATTGGACAGCAGCTTTTAATGTCACAGCAATCACCATCTCATGACACGCTGCTTTTGTTATACACAGGTGAGAATGCTGCTTCTGAGATGGCTAATGCTGCTACTGTTGCATATATTGCCTAAATTCAAATTTGGAACTACCGTATTTTTCATCTATAAGACGCCTCCACGTATAAGATGCCCCCTATTTTGGGGGACTCAGATTTAAGAAAATGGGGGGAGATGACTCGGTGTAGAAGATGCCCCCTAATTTTTGACATTATTTTTAAGGGGGAAAGCCTAGTCTTATACATGGGAAAATATGGTATTTTTTATTCATATGTGTATATATTTCAATATATTGCCCAAATCCGGTTTGAAGTCCATATTGTGATATTGGTTTCATATTTTTTGACCTGGCTATATATCACAAATCATGGGGTGTGTATGTGTGCATGCTATGCAAAAATCACAATGTGGGGAAAAACTCTGAAGCCAGCCAATGCCTCTCTATATAGTAGCGCCATTCTTATTTCAGACATTGTGATATATTGGTATATTGTGATGTTTAGTTGGTGATATATCGCAGTGTTGAAAACCAGGTTATGCCCCTGTCGTAATATGTGTGTGTGTGATATGTTTTCAAGTAATATATTAAAACTCATATAATTCATTGGCTAAGATTTATTTATTCAGGTTGCAACTCTTCTTGTTTTAGGAGATGTGCTTCTGATGTGAAAAAGTAGCAATGGGAAGCCAATTCAACATAATACAATGAGATCTTTTTTAAAAAAAAAACATGCAAGGAAGGAAGGAAGGAAGGAAGGAAGGAAGGAAGGAAGGAAAAGGGGAGAGGAATATATTGAATAATTTTTTAGGCAATCCATTACCCGAAATATGAACCATGTCTCCTTAACTCTGTTCCATTACATTCAATAGGAGTAGATTTATGAGATTTCAGGTCAAAGTCCAAGGATGTGTAGGGGAATTCACCACATCTGGGACTGCAGCAGGAAATTGGGTTCCCCCTCATCTTTTATTTCTACCCAGAATCCATAGGCTGAACTACCTGCTTTGGCAGCAGGGGATTGTACTGAATGATAACTCTGTCAGTTCATGTGATCTCTGGCTCCTAAACCAGCCCAGCCCTGGCTTAGAGACAGCCATGGGGAATTTCTGAGCCTGGGATGGGCAACCCCCTGCAAGCTTTGCTGGCCTCGGAGAGCTCTCCTGGCCCTACAAAGCACATGTCAGCCAGGGAAGCCAACAATTTTTGTGTGTCAGATTTTAATTTGAGCCAGAGAAGAATTCAGGGGCTTGTAAAGCTTATCTTTGCTTTGAGTTCAGTTTTAACAAGTCCCTAAAGTTATTCTGCTGTGCCTGGAAAAGGAAAACTTCACTAGAATATCTGTTAAAAAGTAATGAAGTTTATGGTGATAAAGTTTTAAAGGTTCTTAAGCTAAAGGTTCTTGAGCCAAAAGTAAATCTGGCCAAGGAATCTATAATGAATGCTCCCTTTCTCTTTTTAAAGAATTCTTCAGATTCCCCCATTTATGAACTATTTTCAAATCAGTATTTTCTCAGTCATTTTTTCAGAATTATTCACTAACTGATATATAAATAGCAATTGAAAGATCTTATTTTCCATTCTGCCTTTGAAATACCTTTTAAATAATTCTTATTAATGATTTTGGCAGGCAGTCTAGTTTGGGAATAGATAGCTACTGAAAATGTAAAAAACATACATAATATACAAAGTCACATGACATTTATCTAGTCTCCTAATTGAAGGTTGATATTCAGGGGCGGGGAGGGAGGTCTGTCCCAAACACTCAAATATACATTTGCAACCCTTCTTTATGAGCATTCTGCAGTGTTTATTTCATAATTAAGCAAGCAGACTGGCTAGAAATCCCCACTTTTCATCCTTGTGTTTGTGACAGCTAATCAATTTTGTGGTAATTTTCTTAGTCTGAAGTCCAAAATAAGCACTGTGGAGCAACTCTGAATTCATGTTGTGGTTCTGAGTGTGGATTGTGAATCCTGGAAACTTCTCTCTCTGTGTAAGCATGTAAAATATTCTCTCTATATTTGTTCACCTGATTTCCCATGTTTTTTAAAAATGTGGGATCAAGGTGTGAGTGTTCAGGATACTGGTGATTCTCTTTTTAAACAACAATCTACTAAACTAGAACATTGACTTGTACAACAGATCTATGCAGCTTGGTGTTACTGCCTATGAAGGTCTTGTCTGCTGTGTTTAAAGATATCAAGATCTGACCTTTATTCTGAAGCATGTGTTTTTTGAAAAAACCATACACCATCCTAATATCTTTAATGTGGTTAAAATAGAACCATCATTTACAGAAACTAATGCTTTCTGGGGGTGTTTTTTTTAGTTATTCTACCATAAATTAGATAATTAGGCAGCTTGATTGATTGGACATCTTTAATGGCTTTGTGTTAGCTTACCAGTGGCACTTAGCAAAACGCCAGTCTAAGGCTTCCAGTCATTTATCAGGCTAAAAAAGATGAACAGAATATATCATAATGGAAGATCTTGAGATTGTTGTATAAGCCGTGAAACTAATCAATACATCAAAAAGGCCAGGGTGTAGTAAACAGAAAGGTGATGATTTCAGGTAAGATAATAAGGACATAAGAAGAGTCTGCTGGATCAGGCCAGTGACCTATCTAGTCCAGGATCCTGTTCTCACAGTGGCCAAAGCTGTGCAAAACCTGCAAGCAGGATTCGAGCACAAGAGCACGCTTCCCTCCTTTGGTTTACAGCAACTAGAGCTCAAAACTTTGTAGCTTTCTACTTATTTGTTTACATGATTTGTATCCTGAAACTTCTGCATAAATTTATGCTCCTTGGGTGGCTAACAAGATAGTTAAGAGACAAAATATTACAGTTAACAATAACAATCATCTTTTTAAAGAAACAAACCAACCAAAAAAAGCAACAGTCTATTCAAATAGACAGTAAAATCAAACTGCTCTGAGGGTTCCTTCACAGTGTCATTATTTTGCAGGAAAGATTCAGTCACCTACCAGATCTTTAGTTTTGCACTTTTAAAGCCACCACATAAACCTTCTGCCCTAGCAGATGGGCTTGGGCTGTGGCAGTGGCTACATCACTCCTTTTGGCCCTGCTGCTTTCCAGCTGGAAGTTAAGATTGCTCCCTTTAGCTGTCACTAATGCCAGTTACAGATCTAAATAATAGTTGGGGTAAACATAATTTACATGGTGTGTACAAGCATGAGTGATCTTGCTTGACATTTATCTGTGCACCAAATGGATCTTGGATGTCTCACTCATGAAGCTAAAAGAGATAATCCAAGTTCTTTATATATTTACATAAAACATTGTACAGCATTGTCTTGAAAGCAGGGTAGAGCAAATCTTATAATACAGGTATGCCATTTAAAAGGGGAGGGGAGAAGCTTATAAACTATATATTAATCTTGTCAAAACTAAGTTTTAGTAACAGCTTGTTTTACGTAGTCATGACATAAATCAAGTGAGAAGCTGCCAAAGGGTTGTTTTTTTTGCATTCCACTTCTTTCTGCAGTTTAAGGTGGCAGAGATTTAGCCATTGTAATCAAGAAGTGTGCAAGGGAAAATACAACAGACCTATTTTCAAAATGTTCCGTCCAGTACTTGTTAAAGCACTTGATTGCCACATATTTTGTCTGCCTTCACATCATTTGTGTAGATAAAAAAATTAATCAAGACACCCGGATGTAGATATGCTTCTGTATGTTGAAACAGATTTCTACATTTAGATATCTTGCAGTTTGTCTCAATTTGCGCAGAAGTGAGTTGTGTAAGAGATACTACCCTCTCACACAAACATACATCTTGTCCTTGAATCTCAGGGTTCAAACTCCAGTAGTATCATATCAACTTCTTCTAAGCAGGTAATAAGCAACCTTTATTTAATTGGCAGGGAGATGCTGGTAGGGAGGGTTTTTCTTTAAAATAGTTTTTCCTAATATTGCTTTGAGTCACTGAAGTCTAATGTAAACATGAGTCAACAATAAGTTATTGTACCAAATGTCATATTGGAATTGTATTAAAAGGAACAGATTCAGAATGAAACCAGTCTCCATATTTCTAGCTAGACAGTCTTGATTGGTAAGTGTCAGGGACTGGGCAGAGGAGGAATGATGGATACCGCCTCCCCATCCAGGGAGGAGGAAGAGGAAGACAGTATAGATTAACAACAGGGGTTTGAGGTAGGTCACAGCTCAGAGGCAGATGGGGGAAGTTGGGAAATCATAAAAAAGGACTGTAAGAAACTTTTAACTCAGAAACTTTGGCCTTCCAGATGTTGCTGGACTACAGCTCTCACCATCCCTAGTCATTGCCCATGCTTGCTGATGTAGGTGTGAGTTGTAATTTAGCAATATCTGGAGCGCCAAAGGTTCCCCACATCTACTCTAACTAATCTTATTTTTCATCTGCTAATCTTTATAGCTTCCCCAGCTTCTTTGTTACACTCACACAAACATATACATATTCAAGGTATGATCTCACTCACAAAGTGGACCAAGCAATCAGTGCTGTTTGTCCTCTGGAATTATTAAACCCTATTCACCACTTAGAGGTCATGTCTTCAGAAGAAATATTAGAGGAGCTAATAAAATGAGCACACTGAAGTCCAGACAACAGGAGAAGTAGTACTGCAAAGCAAGGATCTATTTAGTGAAAGTGAGGTGCTTTGAATGATGGACTGTGGTGGCGTTTAGATAGAAAAAATGTAAGTTGATTCAAAGTGGAATGGGCAAGCAAAATGGTGTAAATCTGGACTTAAAAGGGTTGAGTCCATCTAAATCATTGTGCACGTAGAATGATATCTGCAAGTAAAAGGTCACCCCAACATGCTTCTTATGGACAACCCAGAGCACATGTGCATGTGTGTTGTGCGTGTGCACATCTGCCCGGGAGGAGGAGAGGGAGGGAAAGTTCTGTTACGCACATGGAAATGGATCCGTGCTACAGTGATTTGGTTGGATACCACACCCAGTTAAGAAAATAGCAGTAAGTAGCAATCTAGTATTGTGCGCCAATGATCAGGAACAATGGTTTTGTATATTTTAAATCCTTTAAAACTGCCTTCATACCTTATATACCTTCATACATTAAAACCTTCATACCTTAAAACTGCTTCATACCTTATATATACCTTATATATAAGGTATGAAAACATACCTTAACATTGCCTGTTCTAATGCTTGACTGGATTTCAATGAATCCTTCTGAAAATTGCTCAAAGACAATAATAATAATAATAATAATAATAATAATAATAATAATAATAATAATAATAGTTTTATTATTATTTGTACCCCACCAATCTGACTGGGTTGCCCCAGCCACAAATAAAATGCTTGCTTCCTCTAATCTCAATGAGACTCCATTATTGTTCTTCAGAATAACGAAGGCCTGTGAACAGAACCAATTTGGAAGTGTGAATAATATTTACACCTCTGTTATTGCTCATTTTAAAAAGGATGCTGATGAAAACAAGGAGAGCGTCTGTAATATAGATTAGATTGAAACTGGTTTTGTGATTTAGGCTTTTTAAAAGCCTTTAAAGCTTTAATTAAGAAGTTATCTTCGTTGTCTCTTATGCCTGGAAAATGTATTAGTGGTTGAGTTCAAAGTAGTATCTTTAAAATGTAGTTTGAGTAGCTTTGTGGTTTAATGTTTCCCTATAGCCCTAAAATGAAATTGCCTCAGACAAATGTAAACTTATTCTTCTTTATATAATGTTAGAAGTGTTTATGTAAATTTTAATGCATTTGCTCAAGCTGCTGACTTGTATACATTCTTGCATAAGCTATTGATGACTGAGACATGCAAAAATGAGCACTGTTCCTTATGACCCTTGGCAGGAAACAGTAGCATATAGAATGAAAGGTGATGAAAAGGGCTAATCACCCCTTTTATCATTTATAGGCATAATAGCTTGCGTTTCCCCTACTGAGCAGAAAACATTTTCAACAGATATTTTCCTCCTTCACAAGTGAACTGTGCTTGCCCACATTTCATCTTGGCAACTTATGAAAGTCTAAAGAAATACTTAAATTTTTAATATACGTATTTCCAGCTTAGGGAATATTTTGCATTATCCATCAAAAAAGATGAGTGTTATTCAACACTAGGCATGCTCAGAGTAGACTCATTGAACTCAGTGGACTTAAGTAACTTAAATACATTAAAATGAATATATCTACTCTGAATACAACTTACTTGGATATTGCCCTATATTTTTTAATTACATTTTTAGAGGACTAGTGCTACAGCCATATACATGTTTGCTTCTCGCTGGATCATCACCTTGTCATGGTAAGTGGGCTTGCATGTTCCTATGATCCTTGTGAGCGAAGCTGTTGGGAGTCTCATACTCCCAGTAGAGTCACCCAAGACAGTAAGGTCAAGGGGCAGGAGCTAGACAAAGAATGATCCAAGAAGTCCTCAGTAGCAGAACAGGCAGAAGATAACAAGCGGTAAGTTACAACAGCTGTGAAGGCAGATAAGAATCTACTGGTCGTCGTGATATTCATGCCATCGGAATAGAGCCATACCGCGAAGAATCTGCATTGGTCAGCGAGCACTGATCTACTCACATCAAGCAAATTCACGCATAGGCATCTTCCAAAAACCCATCCCAAACCCAAAAAGTCTCATGGTGATCGGCAAATGGTAACGGGGGCAGAACCGTGAAATCTGGAACCCCTAGTCAGGGACCTGCACATGAGTGGTGGATACAGATTCATTTGTTCTGACTCGAGGAATGAGGCAGTTGAGTAGCTCAGCAGCTGTATCCACAACTGAGCAGTCCTATTTAGGATCTACTCTGCTCACCCCCAAAACGGGAACGGGCTAGAAAAGGTGCCCTAAACATAGTCTGCCTCCCTTTTTCCCTGACTGGATACAATGGCTCTCAAAGTAAACCATTCACAGTGGGATCAGGTGTTAAACAGGGATGTGTTATCTTCATTGATGTTTGGACGCCTGGCACCATTTCAAATCATGATGATGGACTTGACTTTGGCATGACGACTCCAAACTCTCAAATTGCACTATCCATTTAAAAATCATAGCATTTTTTGGTTTCTACAAATTTCTGAGCAGCACAAGACTCCCCCCACTACTAGAATAAATGATATAGAGGGACCACTTCAAAACATTTATTTATTTTTTGCTTAAAATTTGGAATTAAAGTTCACTGTTGCAAATACATCCCTCTAAACAAAAGATAGAAATGTGAAATCATATGCTAGTGTATAGTATTCCTTTCACTGATGTTCTGAGTTAAGTTAATCTTATCTAACTGCATGTGCAATGGCATTTGAGCTTCTAATGTCCCCAGTTTGCCCTTTTCGTAGTAAACATTAGGAATTGTCTTTAAAAAAGAAGATGTGATATATGGTATGGAAGAATCTTGTGCTAATATTTTACCACTGAGTCTACAACCCATGTTAGATCTCTTATTTTTGCCATTTATATGAGCAGGCACTGTTGACTAAGCTTGGAGTATCATGTTGACTTGGATCCACTGAAAGACAATATCAGGTCCATGGAATTTGTTCCATGCGCAGTGGTACCTCTGGATGCAAACGGGATCCGTTCTGGAGCCCCGTTCGCACCCTGAGCAGAACGCAACCCACGTATGCGCGGGTCACGATTTGCTGCTTCTGCGCATGCGTGTGACGTCATTTTGAGTGTCTGCGCATGTGCGAGTGGCGAAACCTGGAAGTAACCCGTTCCGTTACTTCCGGGTCGCCGCAGGACACAACCTTAAAATGCTCAACCTGAAGCGTCTTTAACCCAAGGTATGACTGTACATTTATATTTTGTATTGGAACTTGGGGAATGTACAGTATAGCTTTTGTGTGATGTCTAGCACCCAACAAACTGCTGAATAGAAGTCTAGCATCATCATCATCATCATTATTATTGTATCAATATGAAGTACAAGTACTTGTATATCAGTATTAATTAATATACTCTGGTTTCTCTTTAGAAAATAATAGTAATGGAAAAACCAAGAAGTTCCTTTCTCAGATGTTTTGCCTTTTGTTACTGAGAGAAAGGGAATAGCTTGCTTTTACTATACTTTTAACACAGCTGGTATATTTTTCTACACTTGTCTGTACTATGGTGAATTTTGTGTCAGTATTTTTGGCATAGTTTTCATAGAATCTATGACATAATGAATAAGTGTCTTTTTAATGAAATGAATTTTACCTGTTCGTTAATTGGAGGGCTATCTCAGGAATATAGTTGTATATTGGGTTCATCATTAGTGAATAGATATGATGTTTTTCATGGGGAATCTTTTGTGTAGATAAGAAAGGGAATGGTGGCAGCATTTTTAATGGCTTTCTTGGATTTTCCTCCTTCAGCCAATCTAGCCTTAGTGCATAAGAATGAGACCTGCGTCTACTTTGCTGGGAACTCTCTTGGTCTTCAGCCAAAGAAAGTTAAGACTTACTTGGATGAAGAACTTGACAAGTGGGCTAAACTGTGAGTAGTTCCTAGTGACATAAATCACTAACTGCTTTTTTGAGGGTAAAGAAAAATTATTTCATTTTGAAAATGGGCCTGAATATGGTGATATTCTGTTAAAATCCCTTTCTCATGGAAATACAATGAATAGTCAGTGCTTTCCCAACAATAGGAAAACAAGAAATGGCTGCAGTAACCTTTAACCAGCTCATATTGGAAGGATCCTCCTCAGCTTACAGCTATTTGCCTAATTGTTTTTTAATGGTCCTAGTTCAAGTCTTACCTATTGTCTGTATGTGTAGTTGTTGCTACTAGTCTATGTGATTACCTCATGCAATCCTTGTCTCATCATTTCTGTCCTGATCTGTGCATTTCAGGCTACATACACCATATCTATATCTATATATCTATATCTATATCTATATATCTATAGATAATGTGTATGTCCCAAATAATCATGGGAACTGTAGTTTGTTGAGTGTGCTGGGAACTCTAGCTCTGGTGGGAGAATTGTAGTTCCCACAAATCTTTAGATGTCCTTTGATAGGTAACCTGGTGCCTATTTCAGCAGTATTCAGATTGACCCTTTGCTTGATCAATCCTAAATCTGAGACACTAGAATAAAGAATATTGCTTTATAGCCTCAAACTTTTGAGATGCTTGTAAAATTCACATTCTGAAATCTGAAATTTGCATTTCAAAAAATAAAACAGTATTGTAATAAGGTCTGTCATAAACTCAGAATTTGGTTCAGTTTCAAAATCTGAAATTGTGGAACTCCAGGCATGCAATATTGCTGTGCTTGCAACTATTTCTTTCTTTTTTCCTTGACCCCTCATTATTACTAAAATCAGCCACTGAACCCCATTTACTAGTCCCACCAGCATTTTTGTGTCCATGGTAAATTCTTCAAGTGGTTTATTTCAGTTGCCCAGATTCACACTCCTCCCAGGAGAAATGGCCCTAGGAAGGTGGTGGAAGATGGAAGGATGGCAGAGTGTGAGTAAGCATGGATTGGTGGCCATAATTAAAGTTCAGGAAGGGAGAATCAAGCCCAGAGAGTTAGGGTTATGCTGGGCTGAGGTTCATAGCAGCCTGAAGAAATCAGTGCTCCCGCCTAAGTTGTGAAGAGAGCTTATATACAGGAAATCTTTATATCATTCAAGAAAATGGTGTATTTTATCTACTCTTGAAATACTTTCCCTCATGTCCTTAAAGTTATTCTATTGGTTCAAGCTCATCTTTTGCTCCATCATATTAGATTTAAGACTGATTTCACACAATCTGACTTTGCTGTGTGATAATGCCCATTGATTTCAGTGGGTCTGTTCTGACCATGACTTAGATATCACCTACTGGCAGTTCAATCCTGCATCTTCCTACTGGGGAATAAGCACAATTGAACACAATTGGACTTCAGAGAAAAGAGTTGTCCTTACCTATTCTCTTGTTAAAACAGGAGAGTTGCAATTAATAATAAAAAGGCAGCTACTTTTTTAGATAGCTGTGAGGGAAGGAAGGAGGGAATAGGAGCATATGAACTTCAGTTAGCACTTCTCTCTGTTCATTTAGCACAGCTCTGCAGTTTTGCCAGCCATTTTAAGAAAATGCAATCCTGTCAATTTTTCTGTGATTATTGTAGTAGCTCAGGGAAATGACTGACTTCATTCAAGAAGTTAAAGTTAAATAGCTCTCTTCTCCATTTAAAGGGACCAAGAGAGGTAATATTTCATTTCTCACACATTAACTTTGCATTTGTTCATTTTCCATGCATCTGTTTGCCTTGGGTACAATGAAAGAATTTTATACTCAAGACCGATGTACTTAAGTGTGGTGATAATAGTTTGAGCAAAATTCACTGCAGTCCAAGGCATTTATTTTCAGGGAGCAGAATCAATTCCCCCCTTCTTTCTCAGTTTGTGAAAAGAAGTAAATATGATTCTGTATATCTTATATGTATCTGTGGTCCATTACCTTTCATGAAACAAGGAATACAGTTTCTGCCTTATCTTTGACACTCCTGTAACGAAACAAACCCATCACACCTACAACATGTTTACTATTCAGTGGGGCTTACTGCCAGATAAACTGTGCACAAGATTGCAGCCTCCCTTGCTTGGGTCTATCTTCACTCTTAATTTTATATACAGAATGAATGCCAATAGATATAAATAAAAGAGATTATTATTGTGTTTGGTCTAGAAAACTACAGTTACAACAGTGTGGACAAGCAGTGCTCCTTTTCAGTGTTCCAGTCAGCTAGCCAGCCAGCCATGTCCTTTTCCATGGTGCTCCAATCTATTATTCCTACCACCTGGTTTTACAGCCCCATGTCAATCAGTCAGCTTTCTGAGCATGCTCATTCCTCATTTGGCTGGTTTTTGGCTGGGGGGGGGCGGCGGTGTCCTTCTCCCTTAGCAGTTTTTTGGTATGTCTGCAAACTTTGGAGTTGCTTGAAGCTTGCTAATACATCCCTGTTAATTTGTTCATGGTGCTGTTTTGTGTACAAAAGTATCAACATTCACCTCTGAAATAGAAAGACTGATATTAAGTATGATTGTGTGCTCATACATGCACACTCCAGTCACACCCACACCATACATTTAAAGCACATGACTTTCCCCAAAGAATAGAGTTGTTCCATCACAGAGCTACAATCCCCAACAACCTTCACATTTCCCAGGATTTGTGGGGAAAGCCATTGCTTTAAATGTGTTTTAAATATATAGTGTGGATGGGACCAATTGTAGATAAACATTAGTTTAGATTGTGTGGATAAGACAGTTTCAAAAATATAAACTCAGGCCAAAGCAACGTATTGAGAAAATATTAGAAGTATATAGCAGTCTGTTATTTCAGAGAAACGAAAGAAAAGAAAATGTCAGAATAAGGCCAGACCAAAATAGAACAGTAAGGGAAGAGCATCTTATATTTAGAAAAGTCAGTGCCCAAAATCCAGTACAAATGCAAGCCTTTCAGAAGGCTAAAGACTTCTGAAAAATGAATTGGAAACCTTTTGGTCCTATCTGAAGGCAGTGCCAATCTGTTGTGGCTGAAGGTTGATATTTCATGGCTACTTACTAGCTTATAGAGCTACTGAAACTGGCAAATTAGGATTTTTGCCGTGTTGAGGCAGAGAAGACTGCAAGAAAGCAATAGAGGCAAATGAATGTTATGCAAATTTCTGTTACTTTTAAGAAATGCAGTGACTATAATGTTTTACTATAACATCTATCTTAGAGTGATTTCAATTTGTTAATGAAAAGCCTGATGTGACAGTGTTTGAAAGGGGTACAACATCATTGTTTTACCCGGTATCTTATAAAACACATAGCTTTTCATCACCAACACTACCCCCAAATTATGTTTAAACTGGTCTTCCGTTTCCAAGATCAGACCTTGGCTACTATTTATGCTTTGAAGAGAAACAAACCACAAACCCAAGTACAGATGACACACCAAGACATGTAGCATGTTGCTTGTGGCACAGCCAGGAGTGGGGACAAGGTTGGAATTTTGGTGCACTATATATCAGCAAATTGCTTGTTTATATTAATTATGGTTTCATGTAATGTGAAAACCAGGCCTATCCTTTTGCTTCATGAAATTAGTTAACATATCATATTGACCATATGCCTTTCAGGTTGGGAGTCGGGAATAAGTGAGGGCTGAGTCTGATATACGGTAAAACTAATTTGATATAGGTGTGTTTTAGGGTGCTGTATATTGTAAAATTTCACAGCTGTTTTCAGAACTTTCAATCTATAGTATGCCCAGTACTTCAGAATTAAGTACATAGAAAAACTATGACCTACCATCTTGTGTAAAAAAAGAAGGTAGGAAAATGCGACACTGAAATCTGTTTAGTCTAGATTAAATATTAATCTATGAGTCACTAAAGAAATACTTCTGCCTATGTGATAATTGAAACTTTTCATTCAAGTGACTCAAGTGAACCTGTTTCTTACTGTCTTTTCTTTATGTTTAATTTAGTTACTTGGGTTTGGATTTATTGTACACAGATCTTTCCCCATTGTAATAATAATCACATTGAAAAATCTGTAATAGCTCATAGGAATGTTACATAAAATATTTAAAATGTGAGATCCTTTCTGTTGGGGAATTGGCAGAGAACGAGGAAGTTTAACAGTGAATCTTGCAAAATGACAGAGCAAATGAGAGGATTCATTTGCGGGCACTTTTCTAAATCCTACTAAGTAACTGAGGACAAAGATGTGTAATATAAAGAGAGGACACACCATTAATTTTCTAGTACATTATTTAGCTAGGTTTTGCCTCTGAACTGAGAAATTAGCCCGTCACCCATTCTTGCCAGACCCATTGCACTCTTGTACGCTATCACCATTTCATCTTGCTTCCTGGACAAGCAAGTTACCTGACATAGAAGAGACATGAGTTTTTTGCATTGTAGGCCCCTGGCTGCAGGTTCGCTTTGGCTGCATTCACACATAATGATAACCTAAGCTTCCTGGCTTAGTTTACTCTGAACTTGGTTTACTGTGACTTTCCACCATTCACAGTTCTATTCCCTAGCTCTTCGCTGAGGGCTGTTGCTATTTTTTGTTTCTCTTATAACAAAGCATGAAGATGGCTCATTAGAATCTGTCCCGTGTCTGTTGACTTTGTTTTGTCTGTGTACAATACAAAACTACAGTAGACTGCTTGTTTGCTACAGGTGCATGTGGTGCAATAAAATTATTTATTTTCTCTTCCAGCTCCCCAATGAGTGTTGCAATCTTGATGTTAGCACTATACCAAAGACACATATATGAATTTTCATTTGTTCTCTCTTTCAGGGGTGTTCATGGTCATTTCACAGGGAAACGACCTTGGGCTTTAGGGGATGAGTGCATTGTGGAGCTTGTGGCTGATATTGTGGGTAAGAAAATATTTTTTTTTTGGAAAATAATTCATTTTTCCCCTACTAGAAAAAAATGAGACAATGGAACTTTTCTTCCAAAAATTTACCATTTTTTTTGTGTTCTACTCTGAGTGCTTCTCAGTAAGTATGTGAAGTAACTGCATTTTAAAACTTTGAACTGAGAAGATTTAATGCAGACAGTAATATATGAGCAAATGTATATCTTGAAACTAATTGCAGTATGTGGTTCTGGGATCGTCATAAACTATTTAGTCTAATGCATGAAACCAAAGAAAACTTGGCACCCCTACAAATGTCACCATGAATCAGTGATCATTTCTTTTGTTTACAAAGCAATAGCTGCTTGTTACATGATAATGTCTTTAATTGCTGTCAAGGAAGTCAATTTTTTTTGAAAAAGAATTAATAGTGCAGAAAATGATGAAAATTAGAGTTGATACTACCTGTCAAATTGTCTAAAGAATCTTCAGGGAAGTGAGAGGACTTGGGATCGAAATGAAGTAAACAGTGGAGGTGTGAATAGTGGTGCCACTCCTCTGCAATTATGCCTCAAGCAGCAGTCACTAGATGACTGTAACACTTGAACAACCATTTCCCCCAAAGCGGTCACAAAAGCAATGGATGCAATACCCAGGGTAAGGGTTGGCATTGCTTATTCTCAGACATAATTATTTTACTGTGAGTGATATGAACATAAATTATCCTCTCAATAACAGTACTACCTTGAAGGAAACATGCAAGCATACAGATCAAATCTGAGGTGTATATTTACTGTGCAAAAATTGATTATACAGAAATAGACACTATTGCGGGTAGCCAGTGTGCCCTTCAAATGTTGGGAGTCCAGCTCCCATCAGCTTTAAGCAGAATAGCCAGTGGTGAAGGGTGTTGGGAGATGTCCAAAAACATCTGGAGGGCCCCATGTTAAGTTCTCCTGCCTTATCTAATATCTCTATTAGTTACACCCCCATATGCTTGTGTGTGCCTCTCTATTAATGAAATACTATATAAGAATTAATAGAATCAAAGACTTGGAAGGGACCCTGAATGGCATCTAGTCGAATGCAGGAATTTCTATTAAAACATCCATGTCTTGGAAAGTTTACCTTCCTTCATGTAACTTTATGCATTTGATGAAGTGGATTGTGGTCCCTGAAAGCATAAAACAAAATAAAATTGGGAGCCTTTAAGGTATCACAAGACTGCTTGTTCATTATTCTAATTGAATTTCTTCATCACATCTGTGAGTATTTCCAGAGAGGCACTGCTGTTCTGCCTCTGGTCTCATATCTTGTGTGTGGCCTTGGCTGTCCTTCTCTTGTGCTTCTGCTGTGGGGCTGCTGTAAGATGTGAAAGTGAATACACTAGAGAGGGGTGGATATGGAATTCAGTGGCTGGCTGCAAAATCTGGTTTTTCTGCCTCCGTTTGGACTTCTTGCTTCAGCTAGAGAGTCAGAGCTTACCTAATGTCTGTGGCAATGCATGCCACACACAATTAATTCTCTGCTGCAGGGTTGCCATTCTGTCTTTAGCAAAATCTTCAGTTAAGGCCACGGTCCACAGTGTCCTTTTAAAAAACAAATGGGGTCCAGAAAATAGCAATGCAAACCAAGAGGAAGGGAAGCTAGAGACACAGAACAACATAGCAACAAACAAAGCAATTACTGGCTGTGAATGTAACATGAGAAAATTTAATGTAAAATCTGCTAGACAGCCAATAAATCTGTTTTACACTTCCTTGTTCACCTTGGTCAGAAAAAAAAGAATCTTGTTATTTTTAGATCTGGGACCCACATATGCAGTCAAATATAACAACATTTTCTCAAGGAAAAGAAGAAGAGTTTTGTTTGTTTTTTTAAAAAAGATTTTTTAAGCTTTGCTCTTTCAACTATGCCTTTAGCATTCAGACACTTTTTTTAAAGTTTGGAAGTTATTTTGCCTTTAAATACAAGTGGAGTTTTAGAACTAATAGGAACATACTCTATTCACTGTCACACAGCTTATGTCTGCTCAGTGAGGCCCTTCTGCCCATTATCCACCAGCTAAGTTTTCCATACCCAAAACAGTAGATCTGTATGCAGAAGCCTATTTGTATTCTCTATGCTGGGGAACCATGTTTTAAGCTCTCTATAAAAGAAACTATGAAAAAAGATCTTCACATCCTTAACCTGTTTTGTTTTGCTTTGGGCAGTATTTCATAGGTCTGTTGCACACCAGGGACTATTAAGTTTGCTATCATGTTAGTGCTATCATGATCTCTCCCTCCTCGCTTGTACAGATAATCCCGCCACACCCCTCAGTGGCTGTACAACTGAATTTCAAAGTGTGGCTTGGCATTCAGCTTCCAAGTATTAGCATTATTTTATTGTGGGTAAATTTCACTTTATTGATTTTGCCCATGTTAGTGAGTTGCCCCCCTCCCCAATAATGAGAAAGAAAAACAAATTAACTTTTCAAGAATTCCAAATTATGGTCCCGTTATGTTGACAATCTCAACTGGTTAATGACTACATCATTTGCCTTTAGGTAAAAAGAAAAAATGCAAAAAGGAGAAAATACAAAATAAACCACTATTAAAATATTGTCCATCAGCATCGTATTTAAGATGGATATGCATTCTTTCCAGTAACAATGGATGCAGTTACATGGAGGAAAAGAAGGGATTTGTGTTCCTGTGGTAGGCTTGACAAGAGAAAATAAACTGAATTTTTAAGTTAGTTTTTTTATGCTTAGCATTTTATGGAGGAGGAAGAACCGCTGGAGCTTGTTCTATCTGTAGAACAAAAAGTGAGTGTTGTCTTGTGGGATTTATTCAGGAATACAATAAAGGCAGTAAATGGTTTTTCCTTTGGGCCATTTAAAGGTTTATGTCTCTATAACACCTTGCTTATTAAATGAGCATACCTTTTTCTTGTTAAATGAAGACTCCAATAGTAAATATGTTGTGAAATGCAAAGTCAAGGTCACCAGAGACCCAAACTCTCTCCACCCCTTCTTCCATTCATTCCCATATTAAGCAAAAGAACAGGAAAATAAAAATTTGTTCTTTTTTCCCACAGCATGTTATTAATATATTGCAACCTTGGCAGTATCACCTTCTGATGGAGTAAGATTAACTGCATTGCTCCTTCTTATGCTTGTGCTGAGAGAGAATGTATACTGAGCTGTTTTGCAGTAACTTTGAATTATAAGGATTATTTGAAATACCCAAACTGGCTTGTCTTTTCTTTTTGTGAAGTCTTGTCTTCTTTCTTTTTCCCAGTTCATCCAGCCATTTCTCCCTTTATTTTACACACAAATTTCAGGCAAGGGCTTGGTTCATGTTGCACTAATGCAACGGCTGTACTTTCCAAAGTTACAGTGGAAATAGTGGTTGGCGCATCACAAGTCATGCTTTTTTCCATTACAGAAAAGATTTATCAGGAAGGACATATGGGGGTTTATGCTGTCCAGGATATGTGGTGCTGAGTAATGAGTTGGAGAGAGCAAACTTCATTTTGTCTACTGGATACTTGTCTTTGAATATTGTAATAGATTAATTGGATCACAGAAGCATCATTTCCGAAATGCAGTGCAGGCTATGAAGGATAACGATTTTCCTAGGGCACAGATAAGGCTTGTTTTGTGGGCACCAAAATCCAATAAGGAAAAGCTTTTAATAAATATATCATTTACAAGAGTCTAAGACTTACATGACAAATGTGGTGTCATATTCAATATAGGATATTGGCATGCATCTAAAGGTGAACTTCAGATTAACCGTTTATGTTTGGTCTGTGCTTTGAACAGCAAGTGAACTAACAGTAGTTATATTTATACTCTGGAAATATTTTGGAAGTGGATCAGTCAGGTTGTAAAAGCACCAGGATTTGGGGCTTACGTTTAAGTACCCTATCCATATAGTGGAGTCCCTAAGAGGGTTGGATGGCATCTTGTACGCTTCCTTCTGGCAATTCCTCCAGCCATGATGGTGCCAAAAGGATTGCTCTGCTTTCCTTTGGGGCCACATCAGCAAGGCCGAGAGGAGGGTCTTGTTGTCTGCGCAGCCCAGGACCCCCATACATATTGCCCTGGCTTGCTCCCCAGAGAGGTAATTTTGGTGTTGCTAATGCAACAAAAACAACGCAGCAGGCAGCAGTTATGAATCAATGGTCTTTGCGGCCACAGCAGGTACTGTGATTCTCCAGCGGTTTGACTTCACCCCTGGAGGCACATTCCATTGTCTCTTGAGACAAACAGATAACGACAAGTGTACATCTAGGACCATTACTTTCATAGGCAGAATCTGGCTCAGCCCACTGATGAGCCAAGTTGGAGCTCCCCCCTCGAGTGGAAGAAGCCCTAGACACAATGCCTGCCTCACACCTACCTTGCGTCTGCCACCCATCCTGCTGTCTTTGCCAGCAGCGGAAAAACTGCATCACAAGCTGCACCTTTTATTGGTGAGATCTCACCAAAATCCTGCGAGATCTCACAGAGCGCATGAGATCTCATGAGACTTCAGCAAGCTCTTGCCACGCAATGCAGGCAGCAGAGGCGTGGGAGGGGCAGAAGTGGGGTGTGCACAGCAAAACAGGACGCGCCACCCCTGGGCAGAATTGTATAGACTTGCAGGATCTCTCTTGGAATAGAAAAGGCAGCAGAGAATGCAGATGGCAGTTATCTCTGTGTGTCTGCACACATGACCAAAATCTACAATAAAAATAATGGCATTTAGCAGTAAATGTTTCTCACTTATGGAGTGTATGTGCTGTTGTTCTGCATACAGTTCAATATATTCACATACTTCATGTCTGATACATGCAAAATCCAGAAGAGAGGTGTAGTGCAGCAGTGTGGACTACTATTGTTTTTTTATACCTGGGAATTTTTCTTTTTCTTTAAGAGTAAAACTTTGGACAATGTACCATACATTTGTGTAAATTTGACTGGGCCGATTTAAGAAACTGGAGCTACATATTATGCTCACCACGCAAGCAACATGGCTGTCCCAGTTTAGAAATTGTAGAGCTCAATCCTCCTCCTCAGCAGAGAAATCCCAGGGAAACATGCAGAGAAGGAGAATCTGAGAACCTGTTTTCCTGGTTTTGCTGTTGTTGTTGTTGTTGTCAATCTCCATCCATTTTTCTCCTTTGTGATTGTTCTCCTGGTTATCTCCCTTGCAACGGCTAGAAAAATGAGCAACTAAGAACCATTGATAGAGAAAAAAGATGGCAAAAAACAATCCAGCCAATAACGCCTTCCTCTTTATGACTTAACAGACCACATCAGAGTTAAAAGCTCCTTATAATGCTTGCATATTTTTCTGGTTCATGTTATTTTCATCTAAACCCTGGGGATGGTTTTTTTCTTTGTGTTCTTCCATTCGTAATGTGAATTTATTCATCCTTTTCTCTCACCGTATTGACTAACAGGAGTCAGAGAGCACCTTATTGTTTCTGGTGTATTGGAAAAATCCATTTGTTGTGCTTCTGATTCCCATTAAATTTCATTTATTTTATTAATTGCCATAAAGCTCAGAATCCGTGACCAAAATGCAATAGATTAACCATGTCCCCATCTTTCCACCAGTTGTCGTACAGACCACCGTTATGTCTACTGTAATGAAGGTCTGAATAATCGTTAGGCAAGACTCTTTATTTTTATTAAGGGCACATTTTAGCTTGGCATTACAATGGCCACTTTAAAAATAGATGATTGCCCCTAAGACAATTTAGGCCTTTATATTGGAGATATATTTAATGGGCAAAGGCACACTAGTACTGAATTTGACCAAGTTGTTAATGATAGCAACAAATCAACAGGTAGATTTCAAGGAAGGAAGTGTTACTGCTTCATTATCTGCTTTATTTGCCACAACAGAATGGTAAAAATAAATATTTCCCTGTTAGAATGGTGTACTATGTCAACAGGGGAACTTTTTTTACTTAAATTTCTCCATGGTGACACATCAAACATGTATTTACTTCTCAGTCATTAGGGAGACATTGACTGCAAGCCAATGTCATGAGGTTTTGCACAGCACTGGCACAGACCTTGCACAGGACAAAAGAAATAAGGAAACATCTGCCTTATTGCTTTTCAGGGGCTCATAAAGAAGAGGTAGCATTAATGAACGGCTTGACAGTTAATCTGCATCTCTTAATGGTAAGTCATAAGAATTTCTTTGCTAGATATATCTAGTTCAGAATTCTGTTTAAAAGAGAGCTTGATTCCTCCGTCTGTGTATGAAGGTATTATTTGTCCATGAGCATCTGATATTGAAAACTACACTGTCTGTGCACATGAAGATTCTATTTTAGTTGTCTTTTTATTTTAATAATTTATATAAATACCATAGTTTCTAAGCAATGTCTACTAGGAATACTGGAAGGATAACAAAGGGATAAAGCATAAAATAAAATAATAAATCAGTTAAAATTAACCATAAAATTAGAAAAAGCTTGCCTACTTAAAATCATGGGTCTGACTTCGATGGATCAGTTGAATGCCCTTTTAAAGTCTTCTAACCTAGTTTCCAGCACTATATTTCAAAACTATGCATTCTGTAAGTTATAATAAAATGCATTATAATTTAGGTGTTGTGTCAGGGTTACTTCTTTTTATAGCCCTAAACAGAGTTTGGGTGGCTATCTGTCATGTATGATCTAGCTGAGATTCCTGCATTGCATCGGGGTCCCTTCCAACTCTATAATTCTTTGATTCTGTGATTATATGGTTCTAAGCCCGTGAGGCCATAAAATCCTTATAAGGAATCATAAGTGGTCTTCTAGTTATCTGTGTGCAATACTTCGTTTACAATTTACAGCTTACCACAATTATCCCTAATGTCAAAGCCCCAGTTTTTCATTAATAAACATATTCATTGAACAGTTTGAATTGGAGCAAGGTCATGCCAGGAAGACATCTCAGGTTGGAAGCCTAACTGCAAAGAGCCCTTTGCTGCTGTGAGCATCTGCAGGGCTTTCATGAAACTTTTCATTGGCTACCTTGTTTACACAATAAGGTTAGTTCATTCCCAACCGCCCTGCCTATGAATTTCCTCTCAGAGTTCTACCCACCCACCTCACCCTTTTCAAAGCACTATCAGATGCTCACTCCTGTTACTTGCTTCTTAGGCTTCCACATTCATCTCTAAAATGATATTTTGACTGCTTTCCTGACATTTATCAGAAACTGTTGTAGTTCCGAACCACTTATTTGCCAAAAGAGTGTAGAAGTAAATTTTCAGAGGTCATTGGCAGAGGCAGACTAAATATATTAGATGCATGACAATCAAGGTGGGGTCAGGGATATAGGGAGGGATAGGCCCTGGTGTGTGTACCCTGAGTATGTCAGACTTGTTACTGTGTGGTTCTTGCCGTCAGTTCTAACAATATACTTGGTTACCAGCTTAAACTAAAGAGTAGTTTATTTGAGTAGCATACTGTCACTGAGTGAGGACTAGAAATAGAGAATTGTTGAGATTGAAATCTTTATTTCCCAAGTTCTGAGCAGTCTTTCTATTGCAAATAGAGATAGAGATAGATGCCCATGGAACTTGTATTTTTGGAGTTAGGATATAAGTTTCAGGAAGTATTAGGAGCCCCAAATTGTTCTCCTGCTTTGATGCTTTGATCAAAATCCAAGTCAGAAACAAATTCCCACACTACCCAGCAAACTTACTTCCCTGCCAACCTCTGGTTCTTTTCATGCTTTCAATTTACTTACGTAGTGCAGACACATTTCAGCAACGCAAGCAACTGTGGGGAGAAGGAAGGCTGGAGCATTTAGCCACCATGACAGCATGCAGGAACCATTCATCTTGTTCCTCCATCAATTTCCAAAGAACTGGGTTATATGTTGTTGTTGTTGTTGTTGTTGTTGTTGTTGTTGTTGTTGTTGTTGTTAATACCCCGTCCAGCTGGCTGGGTTTCCCCAGCTACTCTGGACAGTTATATATCTATTTTATATTGGCATCCATAAATTTCATAACTGTATCTTGCACCATGTTGATGTGGCTGGTTACTTCTGAAAAAGTTGCGACTTAGGGGTAGGCCCACCTTAAACTAATGAAATGAATAAGTGTTAATAATTATGGACTAATAAATATTTTACCCTTTTTTACAGTTATCATTCTTTAAGCCTACCGCAGATCGCTATAAAATCCTTCTGGAAGCCAAAGCTTTCCCCTCCGACCATGTAAGGAATTAATATTGCATAATATTTGTGTTATCCATTGTGACTTTCAAAAGCATACCAGCAATCATGTCTCATTATTTATTACCTGATCCTCCTTTAGAAATAACAGGAAATCTGGTCATGTACTCTTGGGCTTGGCATATTTTACTGATCATGCCTTTATTCTTTTTCTTCAAATAAAAACCTTGCACAAGGAAAAGATTGAATGGCCATATTGATTTATTAGTCCTTTTAAAGACATTGAACAAGCTGTTGGTTTAAATCAACAACAGGTTGTAAATGTTTTATTAATTCTTGTTTCTGTTTTACTTTATGAAACCAAATCAATACAAAGCTCACAACATTAACAGTTTTATATCCCTAGACAGATAGGGAAATGCTTGTCCATGGTGCTTTAGATTACTAATTCAAACATCATTTGTGTGCTATAAAATGAGACAATAGCCCATGCATCACAGATTGCAGCAAATTAATCTTCGGATTTGTGACTCACTGCTACTTTATCAAACTCTGTAAACACTCAGAAATTGATGGGATATTTGATCACTGAGGCACTATAAAAATCTCTACAAATGCAACTCACATAGGGTGCAATTCAGACCCTTTCTGGGCTGCCAGACAATTAGTTGACATGACACCTTTTTCCAGCTAATTTTCTTTTGTTGCTCATATGTTGTATGAAATACAGACATCTTCCTTCAATGCAGTAGTTAGTTTTGGGAATATTACAACATTTTTTCAGCTTGGAAACTGCACCTGTAATTTACTTTACATGAATGGGTGTCTCCTTCACTTCAGTGGGAACATTTCCGCCTCTATGGAATGCATACATGGGGTTCCCTACTTGGATTGGAATGATAGTGGAGGACAAAGAGTTCAAGACCCCTACCCATGTAAGAATTTGGGATAGGGAGTTATGTATGCACTGACAATTTACTTTTAGAAAACCCTGCATTTAAAGGCACAACTGCATAACTAATGTTAGATGTTGTTTGAGCCATAGACATATTCCAAGGCATCTCTGTGTCTCTGCCCCAGCCTGCCTTCAGCTAGCCCACCAGTATGGTTTGGCCCTTCCGCCCCGCATGGAGTTCTACTTCAAGTTCTGGCAACCTTCTTTCTACGTCCCAAGCTTTGTTAAGCCTCCACTTCTCCAAACTTTTCTGTTTTAAAAGGGAAACTTTTTTTTCCTGCCTTGGCATCGCACCCCTTCCCTGTAAACTTGGCAACCCCTTTTTTGCACAGACCCAGGGATCTTTCTTTGATGTGTTGATGTCCAGCCACTGTTTCATAATGGCTTGCACTCAACTAGCCCAGCCAGGCTAGATTGCATAAGCTAAACTTCCACGTTTCGCCCAGTTCAGGAGAACTTCTGCAGCCTAATATTCAATACCCCAAATATTAGCTAAAATCTGACATTCATTAATTTTCAACATTCACTAACTTCCTAGAATTGTGAGGGCCTTTGCACCTTCAGACTCTGGTATCCCAGATATATAACAATATGAAACCAAGGAAGAGCTGTGTTTTTGTGCTTTGGTCTCAAACGGCTGAGGGCTGCATAGAAATAATACAAACATCCAGTGAGGGCAGATTGCATGAGTGTATTCCATGTAGTTGGCATTTCTCTCCCAGTGCGCTGAGTGGGAAAGACCCCTCAGAGGTCTTTTCTCTTCAGTCTTTTACCATTAACCCTTGTAGCTGTGATAAATCCGATGTGTCTTCTGCCTAGTCTGTTTTCTCCCTGATTGTCTCTGCAGGCTGAGTATTCCTCTTATGTGCTCTGGCATATATTACCCAGATTTTAAAAAGAAAGATAGTAGCATGCCTTTCCTCCATCTGATACCACATGACAGTTCTGCAACTAACTCTCAGTTTAAAGGAGATTGAGTATGGGGAATGGGGGCAGTGCACCTGTGAGATTAATACAACTTGCTGATTTTTTGACTACCAAATACTGAATGGTTATACTGAATTTCATTTTGTTCTGCAATAACTACTGTATATTTTTTATTATGATTTCTGTTGGTCTCCCCAAGTATACCCATTTAGCAAGCCTACTTCATAATACTATGCATAATCTACCATAGAGGTTGCTGTTGGAAAGTTATTTCTTTCATTTGTATCAAGCCATGGATACAGTTCCAGACGACCGGTTTCAGGCCAGGGGTTTGGATGGAAGCTAAGTGTTTTGAGAGTGAATTCCTAATTTGCCTGTTCCACACCATCCAGCTGCACTCAGATAAGGGGTGGGTCCCAAGAAAAAAGTGACAGAAATTCCTGTGTTTGCATATAGCATTATATCCGAAGAGCATTGGGGAAAACCATTGGGGAAAACCCAACCCCCAATAATCTTTAGAAGCACTGAAGCAAGAGGAAGATAGCAATGATTTGTGTGGGCTTAGCAGGGCCTTTTGCTGTTAGAACATGTCAACCATACCACTTAATCAAGTATTATCTACTCCGACCGGCAGCAGCTTTCCAGGCTCTCATGCAGAAGTCTTCCATATCATCTGCCACCTAGCCCTTTAAACTGGAGATGCCAGGCACTGAACCTACAACTTTATGGATGCAAAGCATGTGTTCTACCACTGAGTTATGTCCTTGGATACTGGCCCTTGGATAACTCAGTTGGTTAGAGCATGATGCTAATAACGCCAAAGTTGCAGGTTTGAACCCTGTATGGGACAGCTGCCTATTCCTGCATTGCAGGGGGTTGGACTAGATGAACCTCAGGGTCCCTTCCAACTCTACAATTCTATGATACTATGTTTCTATGGTTCCCTGAATTGCAAAGAGGAAGAGACCATGTAGAACTGGAAACATTTTTTCAGAGATTTGCCCAAGCACATCATGCACACACATCCTGCTGATTGTTGCTATGCGAAAGAAATGCTTCTTTTGTTGTTTACCTTTGCTCACTAAAACAATCAATATTTTATTTACAGTACGCTGTTGAGTCTCAACTCCAATTTCATGGGCTAGATATGGAGAGCAGTATGCTTATGATAGAACCACAAGAGGTTTGTAATGGGTATTTTATATTGATATCTAATCAAGAATGGATATTGGTATGCTTATGCTTTATTTTCTTTGCTACTTATTATAAATAACCTGTTGTGAACTTCTGAGACAAGAAAATTAAATGCATATTATTCTTAGAATTTCCTTGTCTTCCCAGATCTACTTTTTTGTCTAAAAAACTTCCACATCGATGGATGATTGTGAAACCCCTGCTGATGCTATACTTGACTGTATAGGGGTTATTCATCACACCCTGTCTAATATAGTATATCTCTGTTAGCACTTTGCTAAAGTATATATTCAGTTTTCAGTGTAGCCCTCCAGTGGTTCTTCACAGCAAATTCCCACATCCTTTTAAACATTCATGAGTTTAAGAAGTGATTTGGGATTTTACCAGCATTGATTGTAAAGGTGTATAAAATACTGACAGTGAATTGTTATAACTTCATTGTGCTGTGCATTCAGATCATCTGGATCAGAACCTGTATTTATGATTTACTTGCTCAGTCCCTATATTTCTTTCTTTGTCTCTAATGTGAGATAATTTGTATTGTCACTAATATGACCTTGGACCTGCATACTTAAAGGACCACTTTCCCCCATAGAAGCCTGCCCATTTTCACAGACCATAAAAACATGGGCAGGAGCAACTGGGGAAAAGGTGTATGTGTTGTTGTTGTTGTTGTTCTTGTTGTTTTGCTCACATGGAATCAGTCCATATGTCTTTTTAACACCAGGCAAAGTCAATTTTTTATAGGTGTTACCAGAAAGTATCAGTGCCTCCCTGCATTTTGTCCCTACCTTGACTCAAATTCTCTTGTTTTTTCTGGATATCTTAGCTGGCAAAACCTAACAAATTTGGAAATGATTTATTTTGCAGGTCTCATTGACATTTCATTGAAATAGAAAAGAGAATGCCCTTACATGAACACTGTATATATCAGCCTGGCAACATTTGGTTGAACCAAAGCCACATCTTTGTGTATTATTTCACTCAAGACAACACTGTGCCCCAAATCAATTGGCTGCTGAGAGCCCTGAGTCCTTATATGTCCTTCCAATTCATGCTGAAACACATTCACCTAAAGCCCAAATACCCCTCTATTCAGAAAAGTACAGATGACACCTGAAAATTTTGTGCACCTGAAAATTTCCCTTTGTGTTGCTGCCCTAGTTTTTGTTCAGCATTCTCAGTCTATAACTAGTCTTGGAACCCTGAACATAGTGTGATTTCAGGTTGAGGGGGGAATTGTTGCTGAGATGCACTCAGTAGAGTAGAACCACACCCACAGTGAAAAAAATGTTCTCCTTGCACCAGAACTTCGCCTCTCCAGGGGGACTTATTCTCTGAACACAGGAAAGTAGATTTTAGATGACTGCAGTGGTACCTTGGTTTAAGAACAGCTTAGTTTATGAACAACTTGGATTAAGAAAGCTGCAAACCTGGAAGTAGGTATTTTGGTTTGTGAACTTTGCCTTGGAATAAGAACATTTTTCGCTTCCTATTGAGTGTGTTCCATTTGTAAATTGAGTCCCCCGCTGGCTGCTATGGGAAAGCATGCCTTGGTTTAAGAACACTTTGGTTTAAGAACGGACTTCCGGAACAGATTAAGTTTGTAAACCAAAGTACCACTGTATATAGATACATATCCCAAGCAGGTATGATGAAAAAGCTTTTTTAAAAAAGAAGAAGAAGCATTAGCTTAAATGAAATAGATTTTATCCACTCCTCTAAGCTTTAAATCTTACATTTTTAAAACCATTGTTTCATTGTGGGTTGTTTTTTACTTTATTACAGTATTAGCTATCCTGATTTTATTCATAATTAAGGGAATTTACACAAATAAATATGTTTCCACTTTATTATTTTGTATGTGTTTTTAGGACTGTATTAAAAATGGACTTATATTTTTCAATATATATATATTTAAATCATGTTTTTTATTTATTTTTAAATGTTTCTACAAATCTAAACTGAATAATCAGAAGATGATATTCCTTACATTGAATGCTCCTACACTGATACTCTTATGTTCCTCATACTGTACTTCCTCTGAGTATATATATTTGTGAGCTTCAGTATATGTGAGTCTCAGTATGTAGAATACTCTCTGTTTTATAGAAGTTCTATGAAGACTACATACAGTTTCCTTTATTACTACAGCAACATGTTTCTGCTTGGAGGAGTATGTAATTAGGATCGTTATAAAAGAATACCATGAAGAACTTTTGTTACTTTATAGTAGAACTGTTGATGACCTTTTGATTCTTGTAAAAAGTCCCTTTTCAGAGAAGTGAGAAGCTACTCTCAAGTCCTTGATAGATGTTGAGAGATCGTTAAGATAATAGGAGCTACTTTCAAATCAGCAAATCTTATCTCAGCTCTTTGCAGTGGCATGTCTAATTTCATTTGGAGTTTTCACTGCTTAATTGATCCCTTGGTGATGGAAAGGGAGTGGGGGATACAGGCTTTAAAGGATAAAAAGTGATTCCACCCCCCACCCCCGTTCAAATTTCTCTATATTTAATGACTTAAGGGTTTTTACATTTTTGAATTATATGAATGCTATTGTTTCTGAAAGACAAATACAGTAACATTTTTAATAGCTTTCTGTGGGATACAAAGTTTGTCTTAAAAGTGTGAAGAGGGATGCGGGGGGCTGCTTTTTAAGTCTTGTGCAGATGTCAGAACTGAAAATGTCATATAAATAGATTGCTGAGTCTTGACCAGCATGACATCTTTATGTTGTTGTGTATATGTCAGTGGTGACATGTTGGGACAAATTAGGATGTCACTGAAATCCTAATTTGGCAGGGAACCACAGAATGCACAGTGATTGACACTGCTTTTCCCTTAAGAATGGCAGTGTCCATCAACTGGGGTGTGTGTGGCTATGCTTTAGGCTATACACACAGGTTCACATAAGAAGAGCTCTTCAGAATCGGAACAAAGGCCCATCTATACCAGCATCTTCTTTCCCACAGCCATGTAACTCTGGTAAGTCCACAAGTGCAGTTCAAAGGCGTTAACTCTCTCCCGCTGTTATTCCTCGGAAGCTGCTATTCAGCGGCATATTTAACTCTGAATCTTGAAGTTCCATACATTCCACATACTGCCATGATGAACACCTATGGTTATAGACACATATTCTGTGGATTTTTAAGACTATATGAAGTAGTGCACATTATAACATTTTGTGAAAGGCTGCAAATAATACGACTAAATTAAGGCTCACAGGAGATAGAAATGTGGCATGTTTGGACAATTGTCATGTGTCCATATGGTGATACCATAATTTTCATTCTCAATTGCGAGTGTCTTAATTTTAGATTGGAAAACTGAATCTTCTCTTGATGACGCATGGTTAATAGCAAGCTGGGCCATAGCTTCTTGGGGAAGGCTCACAGTAGTCACCAGCATCTCCCCCTCTGTGTATTCTCTTTGAATCAAAATTTACATCTTTTTACATCTTAAAAAACAAAAACAAAGCCAGTTAAGGGAATCTTGAAGTGTTCAGGCAAGCAAAACATATAAGGAAGCAACGTGAATATCCTTTTTAATAATAATGTTAAGGATAATGATAAGAATAGTAATAAGAATAATTTACCATCTTGAAGCTATGTTACTAATGATCATTCACCCATTCAAAGGTTACTCCAGGGCTCTTACTTTCGTAGATTACTGCCATGTTAAGGATTTGCTTTTGATCGCTTACTGAAGTCAGCGAGGCACATCATAAAAAATAGATTATGAAACAAGAAATGACAGTTTCAGCACTGCCAGGGTTGATATAAAATATGTGCTTAAATTTATTTCAGGGGGAGGAGACCTTGAGAACTGAAGATATCCTTGCTGTAATTGAGAAGGAAGGGGACTCTATTGCCATAATTCTGTTCAGTGGTGTGCAGTACTACACAGGACAGCTGTTTGACATCCCAAGAATAACAAAGGCTGGTCAAGAGAAGGTACAGTTGCTACAGTAGTAAAGATTCACACATCCTTCCCCACAAAAAAAACAGAAACCCCTCATGTTCTTGACAGGTTTGACACTTTTGTGAAAATGAACCAATGACAAATGTCACCAACAACCAGGCCCACCAACTCTATGGGGCCAAGGTCTCTTTGACCCCCTCAATATCTGTTGGGAAGGGGCTGGGCCCCCTCAGGGGGCAGAAGAGGCTGAGCATGGTGCAGCTTCAGTGGCTGGCTCCTGCTGAGCATGAGAGAGTAGGAGCCTCTGGTCATTGAAGCCACGCCATGCTGGTCTCCGTGCTTGGCCTTCTCCAGGCGATGTAACGTATGCATGATGTGTGTCACACACATGATATCACACATGATACACGCATAACATCACATGTGTACCGCACGTCGGGCCCCTGAATCTTGGGTGCAAGTTGGCGCCTCTGCCCACAATGGTTCAAGTAGAAATAAAAAATGGTTTGTTGCAAATGTATATTGGTTGCTGCTAGGGAACAGTTGTGCTGGCTAAGTGTTTGACATAATAATGAGCAGCCTGCTTAACAATACTGATACTTAAATTATCTTTTTAAAAGAAAATTGTCAATTCAGGAGATACTGTTGAGGGATAGGGCTGGGAAGTGAGAGGCTTGTCAAAATAGAATATTAGAACTGCACCCTTTTTCTGCTATTAAGCCTGGCAGCCAGACTGAATTAACCAATGTGCTAAATTAAGGTTACCAGATGTCCCCGTTTCCTGGGGACAGTCCCTGGATTTACAAATCAGTCCCCATACAAAATCCATTGAAATTGAAAAGTGTCCACGGATTACCGGTAATTGAAAAAAATCTGGTAACCTTATGCTAAATGTGCTGTAATGTAGAGCTCCACCTGATGCGTCAGCTTTTCTGTACAGGCATACCTCAGGGATATTGCAGTTCCAGACCACCACAATAAAGTGAATGTCGCAATAATATGAGTCAAAGAAATTTTGGGTTCCCAGTGCACTTAAAAGTTATTTTTAAACTGTACCATAGTCTATTAAGCCAGGCCCCCTTGGCTGCAGGGGCGGAAGTGGAAAAACTCAGCTCCAGCCCTAGCCAATTCCATTCCCACGGACAGTACAGAGGCTGTAGGGGCTTCCTTCCTTTGGAAGTGGCCAGCTGCCTGGAGCTGCACCAAATCCTCATAGGGAACAATATCTGTGAAGCACAAGAAAGTGTGGTGTGCCTAAAATGAGGTGTGCCTGTGTTTGTTCAAAACTACCACCTACTTAGCAAAAGATTGACTGTGTTTTCTATTCATTGACTCCTTTAACACTAGCTAGTAGACAAAGTTGAAAGGTCTTGAAGTTTCACTCATTTGACACTTGAGTTCCTCCAGTGTCATTGGAACCTATTCTCTGCCTTAAACTCCAGAAATGTTGTATACAATGATCTCCAAATTGACTGCATTCACACTCCTTAAGTGCTCTTCTGTGTACCATGTCAGGCCTAACTAGTTCTTTGTCCCAACCCTTTCAAGAAATACCCAAGTGCTCACATAGTTCAAAGATCTATTCATGCTGCTGTTGTGAAAAACCATTCCTCTAATTCTCTGGAGAGTCTTTATATTTCAAAGCCAACCATTTTGGGTGTGAGAAGCTTTTCATCGATGAGTGGCACCAACAATTTTATTTATAAAAAAATCCAAGAATTAAGCACACCCTCTCAGGTCTTCCTTTAAAAAAAAACCCAAAACCCTGTAATCAACTTTATACAATTAGTATTGACAGCTGCTGCCTAAGACCTGGGTGTATTCTGTTCATCTAAATCACTCATGCAGAATTATGTATCCAGAATCTCAAGAAAGGTGGTTGTTTTTTACAGCACAGTCTTGTACACATTTACTCAGAAGTAAGTTCATCTGAGTTCAGCGGATTGGCTGGCCGGGCTCTGACATGGCTGGGATCCCCCAGGCAATGGGGGACAAAGTCCCCCATTGCCCCCGGTAGGGAGTGGGTGACCGCGCGGTCCACCGCAACTCCTCCCCACTGGGAAGTGGAGTGGATTAATGGAAAATGTTCACTGCTGGGCCTTCGACACTGCTGCTTATTCTGGCAAGACTGGCATTTGTGAGCTATAAACTCGGTACAAGTTCCACATGATTATGGCCTTGAGGTTGTTGCTAATTTAGTCATTTAATCTTGTAAAGTTGTGGCAAGGAACCACTGGTCTGCTGGCGTAATTAAGCCTGGCAGGGGCCCAGTTTGGCTCGCAAGGCAGTTTTCCCCAAGCCATGCCCACCTGCCCTGCACCTATGGAGTCTGGAGTGGGGCAGGTAAAGAAGTGGCTCCTTTCTGAAAGCAGGGCTTACAGATGTTGATCAACTGATTGTCAGAGCTCATAGCTCATTTGCCTTTGCTGATGTGGTTTGATTTCATGGTGATGTCAGGTGACTGAAAAGTGGGCAGTGGAATTGGAAAGGGTTGAGGGAGGGGGAGGCTGGGGGAAGGTCAGGATCTGGTCTGCTGGTTGGATCCAGTTCCACACCCCTGCTATAAAGGAACAAAATTAGGCACAGTTTGCATGGTGGACTGTTTTTTTAAAAAAATGGGCATCCATATTGTCATGTTTTACTCACTTTATTTTTCAGAATGATCTGTACTGGGACTAGAGCAATTGCAAGGCCAGTTCAACATAGCCAAATCCACTGAAACTTTGTATTCCTTTTTAGTTCCAACACATTAAAAATGATCAAGCAAGTTGAAGCTTAATTTGCTTCAAGATAAGAGGTGTTTGTGTATTTCATCAACAGTTGGTTCAGTGACTGCCTTTCCCCCAACTCCGTAGCATCTGCTGTTGCAGTATTTTGCATTCTATCAGGAGGGCCGGTTTGCTCCTGGTGGTACTGACAGTATTCCTATTCAGCTCAGCAATTTCACAGGAGACAGGCAGATTACTGAGTATATCACCTCCATGAGGTAACTCATTTTCAGTGACTCATCCTTGGGGAATTTACAAAAAAGACAGACTCTACAGACATATCTCAGGGATTCTTTTTAACCTCAGGAATCAGAAAGAACAATTGTCAATTAAGTGTTCTTATCAAGAGGTCAACAGAATTTCAGGAGGTGTATCTTTTATTGGATGTGCCTTATCTAGCTAGAGACATTTTAAAAAAGCATTGCAGGAATTGAGAGAGTCACAGTGGACATGCTAGCAATGCTAAATAGTAAGTGAATATCCTAATACATATCATTCTATTGATTAAGAATTGTTGCACAAACTGTTGATACTTTTTCTAAAACAGTACAATTTTTAGCTTTATTAAATTTGAACTGTGTCTAAACAGAAATTATCTAGACATCTTACAATAGTAAGAAATTCATTTTCATGTAAACAGTTGAGTTTCAATTAATTAAATATTAAAACTAGACATTGTATCTAAAAAGTAGCTAGTCTTTATGCACAGATTAATAGTTTACTAAAATGTAACACTCACTTCAATAAGATCACCAAGCATTATTCTAAATACAAGTTCTTTCCATTATGTTCTGAAAATCTCTAAACTTAGGATCAGGAAATTCTCCCTTTGTCTGAAATAGAAGGCTACTTCATGAGAAATACAGTACACATACACCATGTACTAGTCCTAATAGCTGAATGTTTGGTGGAGGTAAGGGACAGCCTTAAGCTAGGCTTCTTCTGCTGAGCTTTCTTAACAGATGGGTTTCATATTAAGAAAGATGTTCCCTGGTAGGCCTATCAGAGGTTCTCAACCTGTGGGTCCCCAGATGTTGTTGGACTACAACTCCCATCATCCCTGAGCTCTGGCCTTGCTAGCTAGGGGTGATCGGAGTTGTAGTTCAACAACATCTGGGGATCCACAGGTTGAAAAAGGCTGGTAGATCATTGCATCTCCTTCTGTAAGTAAGAACATTCAACACATTAAGCTACAAATCTCATCTTTGGGCCAAGCTAGACATTTTGGTGAATATATTGCTGCTATCAAAAATGTCAGCCACACCTGTTGTTGCCAGTTTATTCTCTATATTATCTAATAGATTATATTTGTCTCCTGATGTCACGACACCCTGTGTTGGTCTGCCCCTGTTCAATATTATTAGCTGTCACTTGTGGGAGGTGAGAGTGAAAGCACAGAGCACCATGACATTGGTAAGTTCATAACTTATAAAAATGAAATTGTGAATATTAATAAAAGAAGGAAAGCAGATGAGAGCCATTTTGTGAAAACCTGTGCTGTGCAAATATTTATTTATTTAGTAGATAGATTTACAAAAGAAATCAAAAGACAGTTTTTTCCTTTTGTAAGTTTGTAATCATTGTTTGAAAACTTGCTTCTGTAAGCAAGTTTTAAACACAATATAAAAGAAGGGACCCGCACACAAAATGCATTCCTGCCATGATTGGTGGTGGAGGATGAGTTTGAAAGCATTTTGCAAAATAGTTGCCCTAGCATGGTTGGATGCTTTTTCTTTACCAAAACACAACCACTAACTATGTCATGAGTTTGTAATCCAGTTTTATATTACATGCTTTTTTCCCAACCCCTTCAGAAAGCTTTAAAAATAAAAAATAAAAAATGATGGTTTCAGAAAACTTATGACTCTTTCTCCCAGTTTTATATTTTATAAAAGAAATATTTCACATTGATTACTTGTGAAAATTACGAGTTTAAACTACTGTACTACTGCTATTGTTGTTCTCAACATTATGCGGCAACTGAGCCTGTTCATCCCTCATTGGACTGCTTGGTGGTGGTTGTGATTTGGCCCCTTAGAGGGCTTCCCCCTGCATATATATATTTTTTTTGGGGGGGGTACTTCTGGGTCTGCTTTTGCTTCTTTATTGTTTGTGGGTGGTGCCTTTGTGACAGGATAAGGATGGATGGTTGGAAAATGAGTTCACTATTAATTAATGAGTTCACTATAAAAATTGGCCCTGCGATAAAATGCTGCATGGGACTGCTCATGTTCAGAGTTTCATTCAAATACCAATACTTACCT